TTGGTTGGGTTTATCTCACATCCGGTGAGTTTATCTTTTTCTATATTGAAACAGAGGTACTCGACCGGGTAGTTCTCGCATCCGAATGGCCAGATCGAAGTGTGGATTCGACGACAACAATTGTTCGGGATTGGCGCAATCAAATATCAACGTCTAGGAACGTTGTTTCTTGTGGTATACGATATTCTGGATTCGAAGAGGCATTTGTCTCGTATATCAAAACCATATTGCGACGTCTGGAAGAACATTCTTGGGGTTGGATTTCAGAGCAATACCGATATATATCTCTCGGCCAAATGAGGAACCTACCTAGGCAGAACTTTCTCATTCACTTACCGGCTATCGACGCAACCGAGCTTGGAGAGTCGGTATACGGCACAGAACAGACGAATTTCTGCCTCGTGGTTTCTTGATTCCTGGTCACATTATGCTACCTGATCTTGACACTTTTTTCGATCTTGTCGATTGCCACGGACTTGAACAATTCTAGAATCAATCTCTTTCTGTTTTTTTTCCCTCCATACTGTTCTTATTGCTTACTGACAAAGATATCACACAGTATTAGTTATTCGTTTCTTGTGCGTCAGTATCGAAAGTCGGTCCGCTTCTCCTCCTTGCGGGGCACACCAGAATTCACTCACGTTCGCATTTAAACTTGGGCCTCTTTCAGCTCTTCCATCTAGACATTCACGCCCTGTTTTCTAGCAGATCGGTTCCCTATTCTTGATCAATTCTACAAATTCGCTTACTGTCGACTTAACCCCCCTTTTGCCAAGCAGACTCTATCAAGTAGTTCGGCCATTTTCAACAACTACTGCAATACAAAACTCGATTATAATTTTAGGCAAGACTCTTTATTAGCTTGGTAAGTTTTCATCACTATATTTTTCTTTCGTCCTTCGATCTATCCGATAGTCTTTTGTTTTGGTTGCGATCTATTGCGCATATTCAATTCTAGACTGACTGCATGAGAAGCTGCTGGGATTCTTTCCTGTGGCTTTCTTTGTGTTGTGATAACCCTCTTTTTCAATATGATTCACTTGCTCACTCCCCTGCTCACTTGAGTATACGGCTCCCAACTTTGAATATTTAAGGACAGCCTTTGCAAGTTGCAGTAGCCCAAGTTCTACATAAGATATTTTTTTTTTACTTTAGATCTCAATTTAGAGCAGCTTTCTTCTCGTCTCTCTACAGAGAACTAACAGTTTCTAGTTAGTCACCATGAGTTCAAGCAATAATAAGATCGGAGCCGGTGGCAAGGCTAACCAATCGAATCCTTCATCCATGACATCAAGTAATCCTTCCCTCCTCCTTGGCAAATTCAATGAGCGCCGCTCAACACCGGATTCGGAGGCTTTGGCAAGCTCCGATGATGAACCTGACAGACAGGACATTCAACAGCCAGTTAATCCACCTCAAAAGCCGCCTGCACGTCGTGCCTCATGGTTGAACGACACACCTCAAGCTGGAACTCAGCCACGAAAGGGCTCGTTCGCAAGTAGTAGCATGTCTCCAACAGCTTCACATCCCAGTACACCCTCGACTGAGTCCAACGTTTGGGGTTCTCATGCCCAAGCAGCAGCAGGTCGTGGACATACGAGCACGAGCTCATTCCCTTGGGGTAGTGCTATTTGGAACAGCGAGTCGCGTAAAGAGCCACCCTCTAGATTGACTGAAGTATTACCATCTCCAACTTCTATGCATCCACCGGGCTCAGCTGGCAATGGATACTTTCCTAATGAAATGATGAGTCAACGAGACCCCTCAGCGAACCAACCCATCCCATTCGCAATCCCTCTCCATCCCACTCCTAAAACATACAGATCCCAATCGTACTCCGTCGGTCAGCTCGACCCAGATACAAGTGCTGGCCCACCGCCAGCAGCCGTTCCAGCGGCTTCTGGTCGGGGACATAGAATTGGACATTCCGCATTGCAACATCGACCATCCCGGCCAAGTATGTTGAGCGAAATGACCGAGGGCGGTCTTGGAAAAGTCAAGGAAGTCGAGGATGATGACGATGAGAGTACTAACAGTTCTTCGCATGGTGTTCAAATTCAATCTCAAGAAGCCAAGACTATAGAATTATTAGCTAAAGAAAATGCAATGTTGCGACAACAGCAACAATATCAGAATCTGCGCCTCCGACCACGATCTTCAACCTCCAATCCCTTTGGCCTTGGCAACGGTTATGGCTTGCAGGAAGAGCCTCTACCTGAAGAGTCAGATTATGCAATTGACGAACTTGATGAGCTCAATGATTTACAAGATCCATCCAAAGCGATGTTAGGCCGAAGAATGAGCGAGTATGGTATTGCTGGCGCCCAGAGAGCCTCGCCGTACACTCTTGAAAATAGAAAGTTGGAGAATGTGAAGAAGGCCTATTGGCAAAGCTCACTCGGGTTCGGCGGACTGTCCGATATTCCGCAGAGCAGGCGCCACTCTTTCGCTGATATACCTGCTCGGCAAGGTTCTGTTAGCTCGACGATTGGTGAGTCGTTGTCACAACTCGATGCATCTATCCACGAGAGCCTGTCGTCAAATGCGGGTCGGTATAATGAAAATAATGGCTACTCTACTAATGACCATGGTGAGCAATATTCATAAATCCCTGAAGTGTCTTTGAGCTGTAGGCAGGCATGAATTGACATCCTTATACTAACTGAATGCAGCAGCTTCATACTTCGGAAATCTTACTCAACCGGGTCCTTCCCCATTCAATCCTTCTGCATACCCTTACGGAAATGTCAATCAATACTCCACTGGCCGCCCTGCATCACCTCATCGAAGCATGTATGGCGTTCCACAACCTCGACACAATCAACTATTGTATATCGTGTTATTCAAATGTTCGCGCGCAGATGTGTTTTATGTTCAAGAGGGCACTGGTCTCTCTGTCAAGCCTGGAGATCTTGTGATTGTTGAAGCCGATCGAGGAACCGATCTAGGCACCGTTGCTAAGGATAACGTGGACTGGGCTACTGCCAAGGAACTCAAAGAGCATTATGCCGAAGAGCACTACAAGTGGCTCATGATGTACTCTCAGGGTGCTGTAGGCAATACTGATGGAACTGGTGCTGGTTTAATGGCTGCTGCGAATGGTATGCAAGGAAGCGCTGTCGGCGGTATGGGTCCACCAAGTCAGCACGGCATGCAGGAACCCAACCCAGGAGAGATCAAGCCCAAGATCATCAAGCGCCTTGCTCAAAACCATGAAATTCAAGCTTTGCGTGATAAGGAAGGAAATGAAGCAAAGGCCAAGCGTGTTTGTACGCAGAAGGTGAAAGAGCATGGTCTACACATGGAGATTCTAGATGCCGAATTTCAGATGTAAGTCAACTAATGATCGCACCAGCTATTCCGATGATATGAGCTTACATTCAAATTTAGGGATTGGAAGAAGCTTACGTTTTATTACTTCGCTGATGCCTATATCAACTTCAATTCCCTCGTTACGGACTTGTTCAAAGTATACAAGACAAGAATTTGGATGTCCGCGATCAATCCTGCTTCTTTCGCAAGTCCCGCACTTGGCTTGCAAGCACCAAGCGGTATCGGACCTGGAGCTGTAGGTGTAAATAGAACTACACAAAGTGAGCGTCGACCACAACAGGCCGAGCAGCCACAAACATACAACACAACGCAAGCAGGCCGAGGCTATCAAGGTGTCTTTGCACAACCATTTCAGCCAGCTATGGACAGAAGTTCTGCAGCTGCTCCTGGCTTTCAGCCTCAAGGATATACTTATGGATATTCTCCATTTGGTTCTACCAGAAATGTCGGTGCTACGAGCGCTTATGGTACGTCAATGCTTGACCCATATTCTGGATTTGCAAATACAGCCGACTATCAAGCACCTGGACGATTCCCCTCTCCTCATGGCACTACCCCAACTCATGATAGTAGCGAATATGGTCGACAGACTGGACTTGTTGGTCAATCTGATGGTTGGATCGGAGCCTTCCAGGGCTTGTCTATGGGAACTCGTTAAATATGGGTTTCTATTAGAACATACCCACGATTTCGACCCGTTCCTTTGGCAAATCATAAGCAAGTCCATAACAGTCATAACCCTTGCCTCTGGTTTTGATTTCTTCTTTCATTTCCAGATGGTGAGTTATCATCGGCACACTCCTACAGAACCGGAGCCTAGATACATTTTTCTGTTGTAATATACCACAGATGCCCATCCTCATCGGCCCTGTTTCATAATTCTCTACATGTTCTAGGTGAACATACTATCTACACATTCGTTTATTTCATTTTCACATTGCGTTGCAACAAGCAACACATTGTTTCTATGGGTTGGGAGATACTAAATACTATGAAGACATACTGGAATAACGTCTTCTGGAATACTACACTTTTATTGCAATTTGATCATAGAGGTTAATTGAGAAGGTTTCATTCGGAATGGGGATTCTTCTGGATTTACTACATAATCGGAGACAGGCATCGGATTCGTACACAACACACTGGACATACTTTTCTACTTCTTCAATTCGTCGATACCATTTTTGTTCCACAGTTAGTCAGGGGGACTGCACCTTTGCGTCTTCGAGACCCTGACGCCTTACCACGACTTAACGAGTAAAAAAACAACAATTTTCAAGAACTCCATTGATAGATAGATCTTTCCAAATACGGCGGTGTCAAGTGGGGAAAAAAAGAAATTGGGGAAATTTGCAAAGGATAATGGATGGATGGATGCATGTTTTTTTTTTCATTGCTTTGTGGTTTTTGATTCTTTTTCTGGCCCGATTTGTTACCTTTTTGTGTCGTTTTTTGTTCTTCTACGATTCAAGGGGGCGGAGAATCGAATCGTCGATGAGATGGAATGGAAACGTTTTGATACATGTTCAAAGGCATTAGGGTTATGGATAAGGGAATCGGTAGCAAGAATGGAATTCATACACTGGGCTATTTATTTTGAATCGAAGTGGTCAATGTGTGATGTGATATGATATGTATACCTACTTGTTATGACAACAGCACAGATGAGCAGGTTAAACGAAAATACGTAAGCAGCCAGCAATAATCCCTATGGCCCATTCCTCAAACTTACAACCTCTCTCCTTCATAAACCCAAATACGCATCTCTTCCCATCGACAAACACGCCAAATCGAAAGAGTAGCGCATACCGGCACCTCGTGGTGTAGCGGTTAGGAGTGTCACACCGGGTCCTCTAAAAACCCCCCCGAATCATGGGGGTTTCCTCCCGCCCCTAATGAGGGGCGGCAAGGTTTTGCTAGTCTGATTTTCGGATGGAGATTTTGGGTGTTTTTTTGGTTTTTTTACATACAGTATGATTGATTGATGGTTGCGCCAGTTATTTTTATTATTATTAGGAAACAAAAGAGCTTTTCTGTTTCTTAAGAGGTCTGTCCTTCTCTTTACGGATTTTTCTGTTACTTTCCTTCCTTCCTTGCTTGGGAAGGAAGGAAGGAAGTGAGGTGAGGTGGAAGTTTCGCGAGCGGGGAGGAGGCGGACCGGACCCACTTTGTGTCTCTTTCACTTTCACTTTCATCTTTTACTTTGACTTTGACATCGATCTTGAATTCATTACGGAATTTCATTTTTGTATTTGGGAATGAGTGATTGATTGATTGGTGTATGCTTGAATACCTACTCGCTAGATATTGATTGTCTCTTGTCTGAGTTTATCTTTCGTTTCTTTATCTGGATTGAGTCTCCTGTGATTCGGATTTGTTTACACGACGTTGAACTTCTTCCACTTACCTGTCTATATATACATATATTACTACGATGGTGCGCAAATCAAAACGCAAGTCTGAAGGTGAGTTGATTGTTGATTTCTGTATGCTTGGTATTTTTTATTCTGGCATCTTTGTTTTTGTTGTTGTTTTCGTTGAGGATTGGATGTGGAATTGTCTAACTTGGAGATTTGTGGCGTGTGAAGGAGATTTGCCGAATTCGAGGTTGAAGGCGAGAAAGAGTGGTGAATATAGAGGTGGATTGGATGGTGAGGAGCGAGAGGAGGGGTTTGATGCGGTGCGGATTGGGTTGATAGGAAGGGGGTGAGGAGGGATGGTAGGGAGAAAAAGGATGTTGGTGGTGTTGCGGATCAGGTTGATAAGAAGGGTTTGAGGAGAGATGGGAAGGAGAAAAAGAAGGAGAAGAAAAGGGGAAGAATGTCGGAGCCTGCGAGGATTGGGCGAAGGGAATTGGAAAGAGGGAAGAAGATGATGAGGATGAGGATGAGGATGAGGATGATGGGATGGGGATGAGGATGAGGATTCGGGACAAGAAGCTAGCAAGTATGCGGAGTGTTTGGAATGTTTATTTGTTTGCAGAGTGTGTACTGACTTGATTCAACAAAGTGAGTTTCTGGAGCTCGACAATCTTGAGAGGAAGAAAAAGAAGAGCGCCGAGAGAGCGAAAGCGCAGTTTATGGAGAAATTTATTGGGGTCGTGGAGAGAGACGTGAAGGACTTCAAGGAATCGGCGGCAGAGTTGGAGAGAGAAGCGTGAGTATACCTTTCCTGGCTAAGAATTTGAACTGCACACTGACTCTTCTAGTTCGGTCGAAATAAGGACTTCCTGGAAGGCTTTCATGCTGCTTATTCTTTGTCGGCACCATTCAAAACTGTCTCTTATGATTTTTCTTTAAATCATAAAAAAGGTCGAATCATGATTACACGGGCGTTGGAGTTGAGTTCGCAATTTGATAACCTGACAAGGAAGGATATCGCAAAAGAGTTGGCAGGATTATTTGGTAACGAGTGGAGCAAAGAGGATGGAGAGATTGCTAAGATGCTTGAACTGGGAAAAGTGGTTGGGGTGAATAAATTTGAGTGTATTGTGAATGCTTCAAAGCCGGAGATCTTGGAGACAGAGGCACTTGAAGTTTCGAAGAAATTCTACCCAGCTGTTGAAGAGGAAATTAGTACTGGCTGGGGCAAGGAGGCGAGGAAACATGAGAGGGCTCATAAGAGATTGCTCAAGGCTTTTGAAAGCAGGAGTTGAGTTGTGGTGAGAGGAGGATTAGGGATCAGAATGAGATGGGGGATTTATAAATTTGCTTGATGTCTTTTCAGACTTTGCTACTTGGCTGTTGGGACTTGGAGCTGTATTGTAGTATGTATACTATCCTGTCTTCTCTCATCTTTGAGATACTATCACATAGTAGCTATAAATGAATGTGTATGTATGACCTAGCGAACTTTGCTGAGTATGACATAGACGCGAGTGAAGAGAATTGAGGTGAATACTTACCTGTTGTAAGGAATGCTACTTTAGGCCTGATGATATCCTGGGGACAATATAATGAAGAAGTTTAAGCGAAATTTACTCGAGGAATATGTTTTTCAGGGCGGGGGATACGATATAGTAGATTGATCTGTAAGACGAGATGAGGGTTTAGAGAGAGGGAGATTATGATTTATAGGAGTGGGTTTCGGCTTGAGGTGAAAGGGGGAGGGGGGAATTGGGATTGGGAATGGATATGGAAATAAGATGATAATTAAAATAGAGATGGAGATGGAGATGGAGATAGAGATGGTAATTGGATGCATGAAGGAGAATGTTTGGAGTGGACAAAGAGAGAATTGAATTTGAACTGAGATGGAGGGGAATCTTGTAGGTGGGTATATGAGGATACTTCGTTACTACTTGAGCGCTGTGAGACTGTGAGAGGGAGGATTTGGTAGTGCTTTTTGGAATTCTCTTTGGGAGTACAGGGTGGATAAGCAGATAAGATGCTCCGGGGAGAACTATTTGTAGAAGATACGCCAAATCACTCAGATACATAGAAGATTATGTATTGAGAACCTATGTATTTCAATGTCAGTATAGATGGATTTGTATGCTAGCAATGTATATTTTATTGTAAACTAGAAGCTCCCGAGTATGTCTATAAAAGTTTCAGTTCAGGATAATGATTGTCTGTCTGATTTCCTTTAATTCCAAGTTAAGGATACCTACTGGTGGATGTATTTTTGGGATCACGGGCTTTACGTCCTACTAGATGTAGAGAGCTCGAGGAGGGGCCGGCTGGTGGATAATGAAGTGGGGAAGTTTTGATATGTTGCCTCAGGCTTGAAGAAAATTTACCCGAACGCGCTAAAAAATCGCACATTGATTTTCACAAAATTGATTCTCGAGAACTTTTTCCTTTTAGACAACACGACAATCGACGCCGCCGACAACTCCCAAAATCAATCAAGGTTAGTAAATCGAGTTCGTTGGAATACAGACTTCAGATAAACCATCTGCGACGAGGAATATACTTCTAGAATTGCAGATGTTCATCGGAATTGGATTTCTTCGATTTTGCTTCGCAGCTCTACCACCAATTCGATTTTGATGGTTCTTACATGGAACTTTGCTAACGTTGATTCTCCGCAAACAGATGGGTGCTCTTAAATATCTCGAGGAAATTCAGAAGAAGAAGCAATCTGATGTGCTTCGATTTCTTCTCCGTGTCCGATGCTGGGAGGTAAGATAAAAACGACCCCAAGAGACGATCTCGATCGACTTCAATTATTCGAAAATTTGGTCTTCGGACAAGCAAATTGGAATATTGTGGACATCTTTGATGTCTCTGCTATACACTCGTTGAACTTAGCTGAGAGTGCATAATATAGCTCCGACAATTGAACGTCGTTCACCGTGCTTCTCGTCCATCCCGCCCAGACAAGGCCCGCCGTCTCGGTTACAAGGCCAAGCAAGGATACGTTATCTACCGTGTCCGTGTTCGTCGTGGTGGCCGCAAGCGCCCAGTTCCAAAGGGTGCCACCTACGGTATGTTCGATTCCATATTCGACAGAAGGAGAAGATGCTTTCTCCAAAAAATTGCATTTACTAACCCAAATTTCGCATTTTAGGAAAGCCAACCAACCAGGGAGTTAACCAACTCAAGTACCAAAGATCCCTCAAGTCCACCGCTGAGGAGCGTGTCGGTCGTCGTTGCGCCAACTTGAGAGTCTTGAACTCCTACTGGATCAACCAAGACTCCACCTACAAATACTTCGAGATCATCCTCGTTGACCCTCAACACAAGGCCATCCGTCGCGATCCCCGTATCAACTGGATCGTCAACCCAGTCCACAAGCACAGAGAATCTCGTGGATTGACTGCCACCGGAAAGAAGTCCCGTGGTCTCGGAAAGGGTCACGGATTCAACAAGACCACCGCTGGCCGCAGAAAGACCTGGAAGAAGCACAACACCCTCAAGTTGCAAAGATACAGATAAATGTAATCAGGGGTTGGTTAGGTGTTGTTGCTTGCTTGGGCAATGGGATGAATGGATTATTTTATGGCCTCATGGCGCACTGGTAGTTAATGCAAAAATGCATAGCTTTCCCATCATACCCAAAACTTTTATGAATTTACGAATCTTCTACTATGTGAAAGTATCATAGATTTTTGGATATCGTGTTCTGTGACCAATGAAAATGTGAATACATGGGATGAATTTTCAATACAATCTCGCTCTCTCGGGCAGCCAAGAAATGATTAGAAATGGTTAAGCTATTTCCCTACATATTCTTCTCTTCCCCATATATATTTCATAACAAATTTTAAAATCTCATCACGAACATGTAATGTAACACAACACACCTCCAAATGCTAACTTCTTCTCGATAAACTCCGAGGGTCGTTTCAACATGTCTCGTATTCATTCTTCCTCCATTTCTTCTTGTCAACCAGTTGAAACAAGGAAGATTTTCTCATTTCTTGGCAAAGGAATAACACTTCCGTTTTCAAGCCATTCCAATTATGCATAAACTACTACTCGTACTACACTACCAGTACCTTGACACTACTACTACTACTACTACTACTACTAGGTCGTACATCAGATCCAGACATTTCTTGTGGGGAAACCTACCTTAGCCACATCCATCCCAATATGTACTGAGATAAACCTGCAAGATTAACAATATAAATTTATACGATAACGGTAAATAACCAATCCATGTTTGTTGTTGGAGAAGATCCCCCTTTGGAGATTTGGGACGAAGGTCAAAATCTAATGCAACGTTTACTACTCGTAATTTTAGATGTTAATTCATGAGAGTACTTTTAGGAAAGAGCCCGAGACCACTTGCCCCTAAAGTTCAAGCACGAACGAACGGACAGACTCTCGATTACGAAAACAAAAGATAGCTTGGATATACCACACGAGAAGGGAACTGAGCTACTGCCCTCGCACAACATTTACAATTGATTTCGCAAAATACTTTTGGAGGACCCGATGGTCAAACTAGAACGCCTGCACTTCGCAGACATCGTTTGAAAATAATAAAATGGCACCTTGGTCTAGCCGCCTACTTGCTTCTTCGAGCGCACGGATCGATTCTGGCTCGAGCATTGCTACCGTTGGACCAGCACCTGATTCGCCGACGAGAATAAGAGGGAGAGCAAAGATTACGGAGGCAGATATCTTGGATAATGCGTATGGTATTCCGACATTGACCACGGCCGGTCGGCCAGGTCCCTCGGGTTCGTATTCCTCGAATTCCTCCAAACCGACTTCGAGCCATGGGAGATCCATGAGCCACCCTTTCCCGTCGCTGTTTAATAGCAAGAAGAAGGTGACCGCGCCGACACTACCTGGAATTGGGTTTTTTGATGACGACGATACATCACCGGAACATAATACAGGGGCTAGGTCTTCGAGGGTGCCAGACAAGGATTTTTTGACGGGAAAGTGTATGACTTGCAATTCGAGCGTGAGTTGGCCGAAAGAGCTTCATACGTTTCGATGCAAAGTTTGTATGACAGTGAACGATCTTCAGCCATACACCCCAGCTCAAATTGATGGACTCAGAGTGGCAGGAGGTGGTAAATCTACGACTTACTCTGGGTTGAGTAAACCCCAATTCTCTAGAGGTATGCTATGAGCGGATGATCTATTATAGATCTCATATCTGACCTTTATAGTGGCGCCATTATCTGTGGAGAAAACTCGAAGAATTGCGGAACGATGTATAACTACCTACCTAATCAATCGACTAAAGCATGACGAAGCCGATACCTGTAATACACTGTCAAGTCCGCCAAGGTCACCTACATTCGAAACGACGGAATCCCCACAAGAATATCAGTATCCCCGACATTTCAATCAACCTGGTTCACAAGCACTTCCCATTAGACCCCCTCCTGGACGCGGAAACAGTTCTGGAGATCGCCCAAGTATAGACGCTCAAAGACGGCCGGGTTCGCGTTCAATGCCCTACTCAACTTCATCCCCTGGCAGTTTCCTTGGCGCCCATATGGAAAAACGTGATCGAATGGGCTCTGGTACTTACTCCAAACAATTGGCTAGTCAACCGCCAAGTAGAAGTCCTCCACATCCACCGGAAAAATTCGACGAACCTATGCACGGAAGACAAGATAATGTCGCCAGAAACCTCTTTAGACCCTTGGAAGAATATATTACAGCATCATTTAGCCAGTTCGATTGTATCAATACTTCCTTTAGTACTATGCGACAACATTCCAATCCTAGGGCAGGAAGCCAGAGTGGTCTAAAGAATTTTATGGCCACTATTCCAGACGAAAATGATCCGCAGTCAGAGACTCCCTTGGAAGAACTTGATCCCCGAATGTTGATGCTGGGAGATATTGCAGAGAATGGTTCTTGGTGGACTGGCAATCAAAAAGAAACCCCTGAAAAAGCTCGCGGCCAACGGCCTGTTGAAACGATACGCACGAATCCTCATTGCGATCTTACTACAGTCAAATCACCTCGTATTGACTGGCCTGACCTCAATGAATGGTATCATGTAGTATCGCATCCGGGAAGAATTTGGCATCGCAAACTGGATGAATTGATATCACGTCGATCTAGCCCGGTCATTCAAGCGCCCACTGATAGCGAGCTTGCCGAAATTGAGGATACAATCACAGAGGCTCAGTTGCATCTCCAGAGAATTTTGTTGAAGGCTACGGAAAGTCTATTGAAACGTCCCGGGCGTCCTCTAAAGGAGCCTGATAATCTCCGATTTCTCTTGATCATTTTAGCCAATCCTCTTCTGTACCCTGGAAATGGTACCGCTTCAAGAAATACAGGGCCGAGAGCGCCACCAAGCGACCAGAGACCGGAAGCTAGTGATCTCAATGTGACTAAAACTAGAGGTCAACCTTTGTCTTCTTCTAAACAACCGCCGAATGCTACAAAAGGAGCATCCGGCCAACACTCAGGAATCATCAAACGTATCGTGGGACTGCTTTCCAATACTCCAAATGAATGCCATCATCATATAGTTTCGTGGTTCGCTAGATATCCAGAGGGTCATTTCCAACGTACCACAGAGTTAGTCGGCAGCTTTGTCACTTATAGACTTACTAGACAGCATGGGAAACCTCGCGAGGCTGATCGACCCGACTTCACTTCTGGCTTAGTCCCTCACATGAGTTCTAGAGAATCCCATAATAATGCTGCAGCTTTTCACGCGGCTCTTCAAGCTGGGCAGAGTACCAACAAGAAAAAGGAGACGAAACAAAAAGCTGTTGTATATAGTGATGATTGGCAGATCAGGGCGGCTGCTAGGGTGATGGCACTTCTTTTCTCAGCCAATAATAGTGGGTTACATAGAAAAGGCAAGTTACTCAGTAGTGTTCAATCGCCAGCCGAGTATCTGTCGAAAAGTACGGAACCTAGTATTGGAACTCCGATTAGAGCTCTGGCCGCACATGGACAGATGTTACCAACAAGCCACTTTTACAATACCTTGCTCGATTATTCCGATCTTGTCGCTGATTTTGAGGCTTGGGAAAGCAAGCGTAGCAAGTTTGCTTTTTGCCAATATCCATTCTTTCTCAGCATTTGGGCAAAAATCCAAATCATGGAGCATGATGCTCGACGTCAAATGGAAGTGAAGGCGAGAGAGGCGTTCTTTAATAGCATCATGACACGTAAACTAGTCAGTCAGAATCTTCTTTTGCAAGTCAGACGAGAGTGCTTGGTGGAGGATAGCTTGAAAGGGGTTAGTGAGGTTGTGGGAACTGGTGGTGAGGAGATCAAGAAGAGTTTGAAAATAGAATTCAAGGGCGAAGAGGGTATTGATGCTGGTGGTTTGAGAAAAGAATGGTTCCTTCTTCTTGTGAGAGAAGTTTTTAATCCTGATCATGGTATGTATCTCCTCCGATGTGATTCCAGACTGTAAACTAACAATAAGCAGGCATGTTCTCATACGATGAGGACTCTCATTTCTGTTACTTTAATCCTAATAGCTTTGAAACAACCGATCAATACTTTCTTGTTGGGGCTGTACTTGGTTTGGCTATCTACAATTCAACCATTCTCGATGTGGCGCTGCCTCCTTTCGCTTTCCGAAAATTGCTCGCCGCTGCCCCAGCTGCAGCACCCGGTGCAACATCACATGCGAAGCCTTCTATGACATATTCTCTGGAAGACTTGGCAGAATTCAGACCTGCTCTGGCTCATGGGCTGAGACAACTCCTTGAGTTTGATGGAGACGTCGAGGAAACATTTTGTCGCGATTTCGTAGCAGACGTTGATCGCTATGGACAAACAGTCCAAGTACCTCTCTGTCCTGACGGCGACAAGAAACCAGTGACGAACTCCAATCGAAGAGAATTTGTGGATCTTTACGTGCGATATCTTTTAGACAGTGCCGTAGCTCGACAATTTGAACCCTTCAAACGCGGATTCTTTACTGTTTGTGGAGGAAACGCTTTATCACTTTTCCGACCCGAAGAAATTGAACTCCTCATTAGAGGCTCCGATGAGCCTCTAGATATAAGTTCTCTCCGCGCCGTCTCAGTGTGTGAAAATTGGGGGGCAAAAGATGCAGCAGAGCGCGAACCAGTCATTCAATGGTTTTGGGAATCCTTTCAAAAAGCGGATCCAAAGGATCAGAGAAAACTTTTGAGCTTTATCACAGGCAGTTCTTGTATTCCGGCAATGGGTGCAGCTAGTTTGGTTATTAAATTGAATTGTTTGGGGGATGATAGTGAGAGATTCCCGGTGGCAAGGACGTGCTTTAATGCGTTGAGTTTGTGGAGGTATGCGACGAGGGAAAAGTTGGAGGCAAAACTTTGGAGAGCAGTCCATGAGAGTGAGGGATTTGGATTGAAGTAGTGAGGGATAGGTGTTGGAGGGAGTAGTTTGTGTGGGTGGGGAGATGGTCAGAATAGAAAGAGAAGGAAAGCATTTTACATAGAGTGCTACTGATGTTAATGTTTGGTGGAGATGGGCGTCTTTATTTTGTATTCAATGGAGCCCCAAGGGTTTTGGTGTCGGCATTGGCGTTGGTAACTCGATTGTCGTTCAGGAACTGGACAGTTGAGTAGGTATTTGCATGAGTCTTGGAATTGGACTGAACTTGGACCCCGGCAAAGATTGCATGCCTTTTACATGAGAAGCAGAGCCATTCATCAAAATTAGATGAGACGAGATAATATCTCTTCGTTAATGATCATTCGTATATCACTTCTCTCATCCCCTATCTGTGTGACTATTACTGTAACCATATTTTCCCATATAAAGTGATGTATCAAATACCTTACTCTTTTCTAGTCATTTTGATTTTCATTTTTCCCATCATGTGAGTATTCCTCCTCAACGCCTGGTATATATACAACATATTCTACAACCATATCCATTCGTTTTCGTAGTTCTTCTGTTTTTCTCTACACCCCGTAACCATCTTTCGTCGTTACCTCGCTCCCCTTCTCTAATTATCGGCAGAAGCAGCAGCGACCTCACCTCTCGCCTGATCCAAAATCGCCTTCTCAGCCCGAATCTTTTCATTGACAGCCGCACTCAACAGCGAATCCTGTTGACTCTTCAATTTCTTCGCCGCCAAATCCTTCAACATTTGTTTCTCGGCTGCGGTAGGTAGGACTTTCTTGGCCTTGGTTAATTCCATCAGATCAAAGAGGATGGCGTTCTCGTCGCGGTGCTTGCATTCGATGGTTTTCGTGTAGGCTGTGGGAGCGCCTGGGGTGGAAGGGGCAGCAGGATTGGAGGCGGTGCTGTTTATGGGGGGTGGAGAGGAGGCGTGGGAGGCGTCGGTGAAGTGGATGGTTAGGGTTGCGGGGAGGGAGGTGTCTTGGCTGCGTTTGACGGTCATGGGAACGGCGGGGTTGTGGTATTTGAGGCGGGGAAGGCAGTTGCGCCAGAATTTCCTGGGGAGGATGAGGATTAGCTTTTGGGGTTGATATCTAGGGGACGGAGGTGAGGGAGTGGGGGGACAGATGGGAAGTAGATGGAGGGGAAGGGGATAGGTACTTTGGTCCGAGATGTCCATTCAGTCCAAAAGCAAAGTCCATATGTATTCTGGTAACTTCTGGTGGGAGAATCGCTGCGCCGGGTCCTAATCTTATGCCGAGTAACTGCGCAGAAGCAGGAAAGTCAATTTCAAATCTTTAAATACCATTTATGGGCAAATCTTTACCTTCTATATTGCGAATTCTGTTAGCATCTGCAACCATTGCGAGAGAAATGTACGATTACTTACAGAGTTAAGCTTGGCCATGCGTTTTAGTAAGTTAACCATCTTGAATATGTGAACGTCAATACAATAAATGAAATATACTGTATAAGATCGTGGGGTGAGGTTCGGAGGAAGCTTGACTTGTGAATATATTTCTGAGGTTTTGAGACTAGGATTTTGGACCCCTGTCGATAAAAAGTTCCGACCTCCGACCAAATTTATTTTTTTGGTGGGATGAATGCACAGCGAATTCGCGTTCATTTTTAAGTGCCATGCGCCCGTTCGATAATTGATATGCCACTCTCTAATTATGGAAGACTTGCCCTGAGATTCTCAAAGCAGGCGGAATGCGCGGTCGCTGAGATACCTACTTTTCTTTGCCCATTACTTGCGCGAAATTTGCAATCCCCGAAGCTGGTACATAACCAACCGCGAAAGAGTGTTAGGATACAGCGAAGATATGTCCAGTCGCAAGCTCAAACCCAGGTCCAAGATACATCGGAATCTTCTTCTATTGCTTCAGCGCAAGCTGTAGCAAGATTACCCTCACAATGCGCCGGATGCGGTGCATTATCACAGACGACAGTCGAAGATGAAGCGGGCTATTATTCGTTGACAAGGAGGTCAGTTAAGGATTTTCTGGGGACTTCACACTCGGTGAAAAATACAAAAGCCACGGCAGAAGATGGGATAGTCAAAAAGGCGCTAGAAAATGTCGATAGTACGATTCTCGAGACTTTGGGAATGGAAAAACCTTCGTCCGCGACTACATCCATAGAACAGCCAGTATGCGATCGATGTCACAATCTCAAAAACCACCAAACGGGTGTTTCCATATACCATCCTTCCGTACGAGCACTTCAACAAACGATCGACGAATCTCCATACAAATACAATCATATATACCATGTTATAGATGCCGCCGACTTCCCCATGTCTTTCATACCCGCTATAAACAAGACGTTGAACCTGACGCCCCAGCGATCCCACAACCGTCGTTCGAGAACAGGAAAATTCTACGGTGATAGGAAGATGGAAGTCGATTTTGTGATTACCCGGTCGGATCTTCTAGCTCCAACGAAAACGCAGGTTGACGGGATGATGCCTTATTTAACGAGTGTATTGAGGGATGCGTTAGGAAGAGCGGGAAAGGGGGTTCGCTTGGGGAATGTTAGATGTGTTAGTGCGGAAAGAGGGTGGTGGACAAAGAAGTTGAAGGAAGATGTTTTGAGAGAGGAGGGGGAAACTGGATGGTTGGGAAGGTTAATGTGGGAAAGAGTCGGCTTTTCCATGAGATCTTTCCGAAGGGAAGGGGAGGAAATGAGGTGATCATTGGAGAACCTCTTCCAATGGATGTCCTAGAAGATAGAAGAGAGGCGAAGCAAACCACTATCGGAGAATCTCCGTCGATAGGTTCAGATATTGATAACAATATTACCCCCGAGGCTACTTTACCAATGGGTACCTTCAAAGCGATGGGGGTAGAATCAGAAAAGGCGGACAAGGCATTGCCAGAGAATGAACTTCCTGGTGATGAATTGAATGACACGATGTCTCTTCTTCCCCCAGCACAACAGGAAACAGCATATCCATCAATGCCACTCGTGTCATCTCTTCCTGGCACTACCGCATCACCAATTCGAGTTCCGTTCGGCAATGGAAAGGGAGAACTCATCGATCTTCCTGGAGTATCACGAGGTGAACTTGAGCTTCATGTTCAGCCAGAATATCGAAATTCGTTAGTAATGAGATCTCGGATAAAGCCAGAACAAAAAGTGATGAAACCTGGCCAGTCATTAGTACTAGGCGGTGGTCTTATCAGGATTACACCCACAGATCCAGATATCATCATGATGGCTTATGCTTTCACATCAATAAAACCTGATGCTCATCTAACGTCTACCGAGAAGGCTATCCTTATGCAAAGCAAAGGTAAAGAGCCATTTATTGATAACATTACTATTGCTGGAAGTGAAGAGAAGATAGCTTCGGCTGGTATCTTCCCTCTAAAATGGGATGTTACGAAGGCGCGTTTGAAGTCAAGCTCCACTGTATTGACTGATAAAGGCAAAGTGGATGAACTCCCGTTTCAAATTCTTTCTACAGATATTTTAATCGAAGGGTGTGGATGGGTTGAGCTGGTTGCCCAGATTAGCAAAAGACGTCTCATGAAGACAGATGCAGCCGAAAGTAATACTGTAAACGATACCACCTGGGGATGGGGAGATGAGGAGGAAGCAGCGGACGAAAAAGCATGGCCATCAGTAGAAGTGTTTACGCCTGAGGGCAAATTCATCGCTGCTAGAAGACCGATGAATGCATGGATGCTCAATGCTAAGCCGCAGACGAAAACTAAAGCTAGACCAAGGCGTAGCATGAAAGGTTTTGAGAAGTCGAGGAAGGCTAGAGCGAGGGCTGCAGGTGCTTAAGGGATACGGGATGAGCATAATAGGCGTCAATATTAAAATACCCCTCACAATATAGTCAATGGAAAATTAGTCACTGTACATGCACTCTCAATCGGGATGTTCATTAGTCCAACAGTGGGTGTATGGACTGACGGGTCACCTGTCGACTTTGAAATTTTTAACAAATCCATTTGCCAGATATTTGATATTAGAATCTATCTTTTTATTATGCAATCTCTAAGAATTCATTGTAATGTTTCCTAAGATATGCGAAAGGATATGTTAAGAGATATCCCAAAGTCCATTTTCGCAGTGTCCTGTCAGCCCGTACATCCACTGGTGATCTAAACCAGAAGACTTGATGTGAGTTTCTAGCTCTGAGAACACCTGTGTATTTTGAACGAATCGAGTATTTCGAGAAGACTGAGTATTTCTACGAATTTGAATATGTTAAATGGGCTCAAGCAAAGAAAGGTCTTTTCACGAATTACAATCCAGACTTCCCTTCTCAATGAAATCATGAGAATGAAAGTAATTATATGAGAAGTATACGAGAAAAGAATATCTCACCTAGATGCATTCTTAATTTACGTCTCTTTCCACCTCTCTCATGTAGAGTCTGACACCAGCTCCTACCTCGTGCAGTGTGTTGTATCATTATCTGCATAAAAAAAGAAGCAACGACGTGTATCTATTTGTTTGAATATCCATATTTTCCTCTCTTCCTCTCTTCCTCTTCTTCTCTACATCATATACAATACAGCATATTTTAACAGCGCACAACGTATATACATCTAATAATCTTTTTGGATCTATATCAGCGTTTCCTCACTTGCTTGCCGACCTCACGTCGTTTCAATATTCGTGCCTGGCTTCGTACGAGTCTTTCGATTGGTATCTGTCGGTCTGCTTGACTACCTCATCGTTTCCTATTCTTGGGCTCCTCCTCCTGTTGCGTAGTATTCAGATACATTCAGACGCATTCAGACGCCTAGATAATTATCGTCAAACAAGACTCTTGATCAATTGCGACCATGGCTCCCACCGATGGAGAGTCTGACAACGAGAGCGTCCATTCGCCAAATTCTCCTGAGCTTTCGGCTGCTGGATCTGAAATCTCTCCAACTTTATTGGAAGACACTGCAGCATATGATTTTGATGTTCGTCATACTTGTAGGGGTAGAATTTAGTATCTGTTTCGTTATTCAATTGGCTTTAGAGACGTATTTGCTAATCAGCATCTGTATAAATCATATCGTGGCCTCCACTTTCACGTATAGTAGTCAGGATTCATAAAGTGGGAAGAATATTTCCCGCAGGTTGTAAATTTCTTGTGGAAGATTGCCCACTCGCATCGGAACTCTCTTATGAGACTAAAGAAAGGAAAAGGAACTGTGAGGCTTGTTCATGGGAGCTCTGAAAAGCACAAGTGATCAGGTCCAAGACGGTGTGGTAGAACAAAGGACTGTAATTCCTTTAAGGAAACTGAAGCCCCAAAAACATTTGTCAGACATTAAAAGAATTGTTTGAAGATGGTCAATAAACACAGCGAACATTCACTCAAGAGAGAGTTTGTAACAAGCAAAACAATTAATTATTCACAGCTATAAACACAGTCTATGATTGTAATGATATTGTGTGAATTTAAACTCATTAAACAATCACATTTACGTGTACCGGAAAATTTATCAATCTGGTCGCAGTATTTAAACCACTCTTTCTTTGTGTCAACACTATCCCGACACTTTACAAATAATCACACAAATCACTTTACAAAGCACTATTCAAACCTCTTTCGAAACCATAAGTTCTCTTAAGCTTATCCATATACACCATACAACTTTTCCATTTCTTCCAGAAACTTGGTAGATATGGAGGACAACAATTCTACCACAGATCAGAACTCCTTTTCGACGCTCGGTAAGCATTTAACCCTGTCTCCCAACCCTTTTGCTAACAATTTTGACAGATCCAGTTGAAGGAGAGTCTCTCAATACAACATGGCTCAATCACATATTTATTGAACAGCTGTTTCTCAATACAGATTATGCAGAATTCAAATACAATGTTGATAAAGCACTGGAGCGTGGTCTTATTTCTTCACTAAGCGTTGCTAGCCACATCACTACCATTTTTGGTCAGCAGGAAGGATATCAACTCGGAAGAGTGCTGGAATATCAAACGGTAACTTCTTCAACGGCTTTGAGATGGTTGTTGATTGCATATGGGTCAGATTCAACACGGAAATTTTTCGTGGATGGCTGTATGGACGTCGTGAAGGAGGTTGATGGACTGGTGAAGGCAGAACCGGGACGAAGTGTCTACACGCAAGATGAAAAACTTCGTGCTGAACAGATCGCAGCAAAGGAGTGGCTCGAAAAAGTAAAGAAATGTGCGGGAGTGCTGAACTATTGGTTGCGAGTCGCCGAAGAGCAACTTAAATTCGATCAGCGCTGGGGCACAGCCAAGAAGTGGGTTTTGCATGGAGACGGCTGGGGACATTTGGAACAGATCTGGAGAACAGGGCTCATAGAGAAGTTGGCGATAACTCTTCGGAAGGCGAAGTCGAATATCGCGGTGAAGTTGATGGAGGCAGGTCAGAATCCTGACTATGGCCCACAATATGTCAATTTGTTGCGAGACGCAGGTTTCGCAGATGGCGGAGAACCAGAAAGATTGGTATTCTGGCCTCAGACTGGCAAACTAGAATGGGTTTATCCAACGCAAGAGCCAAGAATTTCGAAGGTGGCAGCAGAGCAAATTCGAATGAGTGCAAGTCTTTTCTTGAGCGGCATTTCACGACGAAGCCAAGTTGCTGCTGTCCAAGAAACTGCTCCTCATGTAAAGCCGAACAGCCTCCCGGTTGAACAAGATACGCTTGATCAGCATCCTGCTCCTCGAATACTTATAAACGGAACTTCTGATCATCAGGATGTCACTTCTCAGGAACTCCCTGATCGCTGTACTACTGCAGACTCAGAAATTACTTCTCAAACAAGAATTGGACTTGCTCTTGGAGAACAAGATACAGCGCAACAAGTGCTTCCAGGTTCGTCTTCTGATGAAAATATCGCACTTCGAGTCAAGACAAACATGTTTGCTACTGACTGGGAAGATACCACTCCAGTACGACCAGGCAAATCTACAACCTGGTATTGGGGCCGAGAACCACGTCCAATTGGTCATGGCAGTGTTCCTCAGGAACTCGAAGATTCTAGGTTCTGGTATTCTGCAAGAAAGTCGTCTGACACACCGCATGCCATTGAAGCTAGCGTAACAGCACCTATTTCGTCTCTTCCGCGAGCTAAGGCTGAGGAAAATGAGTCTATTCCTGAGGTTGAAAAGCTTGACCGCGATAGCAACACACTTCCAGACATCAAGGGTGATACCATCATGGAAAAAGATATAGAAGACTCTAACTCTAATTATATTACAAGCAACAATCGACCATATACTCGTATTGATTTGGCTGACCTAGGAAAGAAATTGGCGGTTTTGGATGCCGCAGAACTGGAAGCTGCGGAAAAAAATAATCAGCAACAAAATCGAAGCTTAGCCGAACAGACACTGTTGGATCTACCAAGAAGACACACACAACTCAGAGAGGAACTCCAGCATTCTGCGAAGATAAAGAAGACCCTACTAGATAAGCTAGACAGTGATACGCCAATAGGTTCGAAGATGGATGCGGTGGGAATATTTCTTGATGCGATAGAAGAAGAGACTGAGAGAATGCAAGGATGGACAGAGGACTTGCGAGAAGCCGAGGCGGAAATCGATCGCGGTTACGATGGAGACTGGGAGGAGGAATCGCAAAGTGAAGAAACGCATAATAACACGCAAGCAATATTGAAAACAAGTGTAGAATGCTCCTTATCATTGGAAGGAAAGAAGCATACACAGATGATTGAAAAATCCTCAACAATGTTGCTTGGAGAGGGAGAAAGTATTGAGAGCGAAAAGCAAAAGGCTAAGACAAGTGTGCATGGGGAAACAGAGGAGACAGATGCAGGCGAAGTGATGGAACCCGCGGTTGCTCAAACTGTCGGACGATTGTCATTGGGAGACTGAATGATGGCAGCGTGGCTGGCTCAGACACTCGTGGCTATGATGGTGTTGGTCAAAGTTCGTCAGTCGAGGGGAAAATTACCAAGGCAGGTTATACAGCAGAAGAACATGACATTCTCTCGCCATCCACTGGTAACTGATCGAGAGCAAGGACAGAGATAGAAACTGAATTTGAGGGGTTTGAGTGTGCAGAGCGTGGCGCATTAGTACGTACTGTAGATAATATGAAGCTGCGGGACTTTAGCAAAACAAATAGATGACAGCACCCAAATCTCTTCATGCATGCATTCTACACAAAGGTTGAATTAAAATTGAACGTTTTGTTTATTCCTAGCCCTATCCATACTCACAAACGCCATTGTAATGTCCAAGCACGGTAAGATATGCTCTTAATATGATACAGCCGAAAAGTGTATCTGTAGCCAACCCATAAGCAGAAAGTTTTTTGTTTTTCTCCAACACCACTCTTTTTAGACTCTGACATTCCTGGCCTCCTTCTCCACAACCTTGACCAAATCCTTGTAGACTTCCTTGAATTCTTCCTCGCCCTCGATCTTCTCGGCCTTCTTTGCGCCGGATCTCGCCTCTGTAACCATTACCACACTCGTAGGTCTCTTTGTGTTACCTGCTGCTCCCAATTCGGCTCTGCTGGTAACGAAGATGTATGGTACGTTGTGATCTTCGCACAAAATTGGAATGTGAGAAATGACATCCATTGGCGAAATATCTGCAGCAAGGATAACGACACCTGGGAAAACGGTATTGCTGGCACCTTGAGGAGATTTGCGAAGAGCTTTGACGACTTCCTTAACACCACGCTTAAGAGTCTTGTTTTTGGCAGCTACGAACGACAGTCAGTATTTTTCATCACGAAAATGCGTCCACAATGCTGACTACGCAACAATTGGAAAAGGGAAAGGGCGAATTGATTTACCTTTCTTAACACTCTTGAGCACCTTCTTTGCGACCTTTTCATCGGCCAATGGGTTTGCGAACGGAACCAAAGCTCCTACTGGTTTGATCTCGGCAGCTGCACCTTCCTTATCCTCCTCAATCACAATATCCATGACCTCAACATCCTCTGGCTCCTTGGTAACTTCGGCAATGGCAGCAGCGACATTGTCTTCACTGAGCTTGACCTTCTTGTCCTTCTTGGAAGATTTCTTAACACCATCGGTTTCACTTCTCTTCTCCTTCTTCTCCTTCTTGTCGCGCTTCTCGGATTTATCTTTGCCCATTTTGAATATCCTAAACTTTCACTTTAGAAAGAATATTTAATGTACAATACAAAATTGTTGGTGGTGTTAATTGGACAAATTTGTTGTTTTGCGATGAAATCAGAGCTTGAAGGTTCAGAACTTTTTTACAAAATGTTCGGCGGGTCAATTCGCACTAAACTAGATCGGGAGCTGCTATAAAAACTCTCTCAAAGGACTGTAACTTGGGCACGCCCTGGTAGAATGGAATTGCTAAAATGATGTTATAACACTATCAAAGGTTTTGAACAATATAAAAAACTTCACGGATATGTGAATTTTAGGTAATATCATGTCCTCCTGTATTATCGGCCTCATTCATGTCCAAATCACCATATCATCATGCTTTCACAAATAGCAAAAATCACACCCTAGTGACTTGCGTAGAAACACTTTTTTAGAAACCATGATGCATTGCAAAATCCCAATCTAATACTTTACACCCATATTTCTTCCTTGAATCTCGCATAGCCACCAAGCTTCTTCGGTTTGGAGGATCAGGAAAGGTCCAACACCAAATAATGCTTAGCAGGCTGGTCATGTACTTTCCAAGCTCTATTCCTCGCCACTAAACTCCAGTCTTCCTGGCTTAGAGTTCAAGTATTCGTTTCTACCAAAACTAATTAGAACGCAATGCACGTTGGCGACATCACAGACAGTAAGACAAACCTCTCAATAGCCCATTCCATGGCAGTGTATGCGATAATAAATGGTGGTGCAATATAAAGGACTTGGCCACGGAATCGTCTCCAGGTGTTGAAGATAGCTGCGTTCAAGGCACCGGCGAGAGGACGTTGTCGGTTGGCACTGAGTGCATATGATGCGACACCCTTCTGGGGTTGAGAGCCTGTATATCCCACATCAGTCAAATGTTCCTCCTCGTTGCTCGATACGGTATGATCGATCTCGTATTGTCGGCGCTTGAGTAATCCCCTCTTCATCCTCTTCTACTCATTGCACCCCCCTCCGACATCTCGCGAGGCTTGTGTGTGTCGAGTGATTTGTGCGGGGATTCCAGAATGCCGAGTAGCGGTAGAAAATGCTCTTCAAACTCACCCAAGTTACCCCAGCCGCCAAGATATCTGTGAAGTACCATAAATATTAGCATGCCATACATCTTGGAAACCATAACCTCCCACACTCATGTAATTGTCTGGCCACCCGTGAAGACCCGTGAAGACCCGTGAAGATTCTTCCTCCTTCGCAGTAGGAATCTTGTTGGAAATACTCACTTTCCATACTTTCCAACCTCTCCGTCACCACCAGATCTAAGGATTGAAGTAGGTCTCATTTTGAATAATGTGCGAAGTGCCAACAGATTCAATTGTTAGGTATTATTCGTCAAAGCAGAAGTTCTGATATTCTGAATAGAAGTCGGGCAATCGGATTATAATCGCCAAGCATTCATCCGACACCCCTGCCTTGCCCACCCAATCATCACTAGCGCGAGATTCCGCCAAAAATGTCAAGCTGCAGTGAGCCTCCCCTCCGCACTGAGCTTCTAGATATCCCGCCTTCGAAAAGTATCTCCAACACATCTCCATTTCCACCACCCATAGACAACATTCAAGATGGCGCAATCTCTAAATAACCTCTACAAGTTCATCGTTCCTTTGGGAATTGCAACTGCCGCCGTTCAGTCCTCTATATACGATGTCAAGGGTGGCTCTCGAGCAGTGATTTTCGATCGTTTATCCGGAGTCAAGGAGACAGTCGTCAATGAGGGTACACATTTTTTGATTCCTTGGTTACAAAGAAGCATTATCTACGATGTACGCACGAAACCAAGAAACATCTCAACGACCACTGGAAGTAAGGATTTGCAAATGGTCAGCTTGACACTGAGAGTTCTACATAGACCTGAGGTCCAACAGCTACCCAAGATTTACCAGGTTTGTCGCCTCTTCCCATTTTAAGCCGATGGCATACTAATCCACACTAGAACTTGGGTCAAGATTATGATGAGAGAGTTCTACCCTCTATCGGAAACGAAGTCCTTAAATCCATCGTCGCCCAGTTTGATGCTGCTGAACTCATCACCCAGCGTGAAGCCGTCAGCAACCGCATTCGATCAGATCTCCTCAAGCGTGCTCAAGAATTCAATATTGCACTTGAAGATGTCTCAATCACCCATATGACATTCGGTAAAGAATTCACTCGCGCCGTCGAACAAAAGCAGATTGCTCAACAAGATGCCGAAAGAGCGAGATTTATTGTCGAGAAGGCAGAGCAAGAAAGACAGGCCAACGTTATCCGTGCAGAGGGTGAAGCAGAGAGTGCAGACACTATTAGCAAGGCTGTTGCAAAGGCAGGAGATGGTCTGATTATGATTAGAAGAATCGAGGCTAGCAGGGAGATTGCACAGACCTTAGCAAGCAATCCTAATGTCACTTACTTACCCGGCGGTGGTGAGGGTGGCAAAGAAGGTGGTGGAAAGTTTTTGCTTGGCTTGAGATGATTATGACAATTGGGATCAAAATGGAATGGAATGAAACAAAAACCCGGAAATAGGTCTTCTGTGTACTACTAGGAATTGGCAAAATATAATATCCCCTCTGCGCAGGACAAAGTGCACTACGTTCTGCTTCGTATGTGGTATAACCCCTTCATTATTTCCTACTCATCTATGGGCTTGCTTCCTTGCATTCATTCAAAGAGTGGACATAAAATTAAGTGCTGGTATAGTTGCCTTCCTCAAAGCATGGTTAGGTTCAGTTTGCTTACAGTTGTCTAGCATCAAATACAATTCATAAACAGTTCTGGTTGTTTTCTTACATCATATCCTCATCCCAACTTTCCGAGTGGTTCCATCCCTATCTCTTCATGTCCCGCTCATAGTGTATTATAAATGAACCTTGTCAAGGATGACGTCCCATTCGCCCGTCATCCCATATTACACCCAAAAGTAAGGGAAATGAAGAGTTCATATATTACAGGTCTACGCCTACTAGAGGTCTCTTTCACCCGCTTTCGCATTTTAAGTATCAGTATCTCTGTTTTGTTAAATCGGTTTATACCGGAACATTTACATAGGTATGTAGGACACTAATGTGTAAGACTTGCATGAGTGTTTTGGCAGTTCATGCTTGGTCAACGCTATCCAGTGCCACACTTCTTCTGAATCTCAAGAATATCAACGAGATCATTTCTACATCAATGAGATCCAGTCCGTTATTCAATGTTGCCAGTACAAATAGATAGTGGTGTTCGCTTGGTTTTTATTGACTTGGAATTGCGTACTCCGGCCGAAACCCTTTTCCTCCCTCCCTCTCCCACCATTTGCATATTCATACATCGCATCATTTGCAACACATGCATAAAACAACTCAACCATCTAAAATGTCTAAAGCTGATTGTAAGATTTTACAAGGAGACCAACAATCACACACACAATATGTTATCTGTGGGGCACGTATTCGTAATTTTTGTTGAACCTCTGTTGGAATCATCTAGGAACGCCAGCACGTCAAAATGTATATCTGTTTCTAACATATTCTCAAATATTGTGCATTTCCGACTTTAACACCACAATTGCGTACGCTGGCCCGAGTCACTTCCATCCTCCTCAATTACATCTGAATTTTTCAGTCGTTTAAGTCTCTAGAGCGATTTGACTTATTCGCAGAGATTAGATATAATAATCGAATGTCCGAGTAGAAGCTTGCCTAGCCACGAAACCTACAAAAGTTAACATTACACATGTTCTAAATCCGGGTTGGCGGCCGATCCTGATTATGCAGTATGCTACATCAGGTCATATTGTTGGTATAGTATACATTTTGCTTTATATCATCTTCCAGTTTTTTGTTTTGAAAAGTAGTTTTCTCTCCTTGTTTCTCTTGAACATATTTGCGTTCATATTCGAGTTCCTCTTAAAATTTAATACCATGCAACCCGTAACAAGCGCTCTAATCTACACTGTTTGTGTCAGTCTACTTGTATATTTTCCACCAAAGATGGAATTCTTATCGTGCTTTTAGTGCAGCTGCTAAGCAGCATGGCTGCAAAAAGGTTCCGAGGTACCCTCATCGAGACTCAATATGGGGCACCGACTTGATGAAGAAGAGAGTGAAGGCTGTTGGTGAAGGTCATCAAATGGCCTTGTTCATGAAACACTTCAACGAGATCGGAAAAACCTTCGAAGAAAATTTCTTTGGCACCAGAGTTATCAATACAATAGACGTTCGCAACATACAGCGAGTTTGTGCTCTTTCTTTTGAGGACTATGGAAAGCCAGCTCAAAACTTCTTCAAGGCATTTCTAGGTGATGGAGTCCTCTCTCTAGATGGTAAAGCGGTACGTTTGCCTATATCTAATATGTTCATTGCCTGTGGATGCTAATTAAATCCACTAGTGGAAACACTCCAGGGACATTGTAAAGCATATATTCTCGAGGGCTGAAGTCTCCGATATGGACACCCTTGGTTTCCACGTCGATAGATTTCTTGATCTTATCCCAAGTGATGGAAGCGAAATCAATCTTCAAGAGCCACTACATAATTTGGTAAGGACAAACATATCGAGCTGATTAATATAATATTAACATGACATGATTCAGTTCCTTGATCTCTCGACCGAGTTTCTATTTGGGCAATCCATCGATGCACAACTGCCCGATGACCCAAATAATTCTAAAGAATTACTGAAGGCCTTCAATGGCGCCCTTGCGGGTGTTGGAAAAAGACGGTTGGCTGGAAGGCTCCAATTCGTCTATTCCTTCGAAAGTAGCTGGAAGAGGGATATTGGGACGGTTTACGCGTATGTTGATGCACATGTCAAACGAGTGCTTAATAAGGGGCCTGCGGAGGAGAAAAGTACTAGTAGTGGAAATGCAGTTCGTCGACATATTCTCCTGAATGAAATGGCCCAGCAAATCAAGGATCCTCTTCAACTCCGCTATCAGATTATGAATGTATTCATGCCTGGACGTGATACAACTTCTGTACTCATAGCGAATTGTCTGTTCCATCTCGCAAGGAATCCAGAGATATGGACCCAACTTCGAGCTGAAAGTATTGGGCTTGGTGACCAACCTCTCACCTTTGAGTCCTTAAAATCACTACGTTCTTTTAGGAATGTTCTTCAGGAAACACTTCGTCTTCAAGGTCCTGCGGGTCGTTCTCAGCGTCTAGCGCTCAAGAACACAATTCTTCCGGCAGGCGGTGACCCGGACGGGAAGTCCCCTATATTTGTAGAGCAGGGAGATGTGGTTGCTTTAAATATCTGGGGTCCTAATCATGATAAAGATATTTGTAAGTATTGCTTATTCATTGATTTCATTAACAGCGCGTGTGTCAAAAAAAATTCAATTTGATCGGAGATTCTTTTGCTTCTTATATTTATGATAAAAACAGCTACTGACATTCCAACACACACAGGGGGTGATGATGTTGATGAATTTAAACCACAGAGATTTAACGATAAAAGAATGGGTTGGGAGTTTACTCCCTTTCTGGGTGGTCCTCGTATCTGTCCTGCGCAACAACAAGTACTTACGCAGTCTGTATATCTGCTCGTCAGAATGACAAGAAGATTTGCTAGGATTGAGAATAGAGATACTGTTTTGGAGTACGTTGAGATGGTCAGAATGACCACGGAGAGCCGCAATGGGGTTAAAGTTGCACTGTTTACTTCAGAGGGGAAATAAATCCGACTATCACTCTCGGTGCATTTGTATAACAAGGTCAATGCATAAACACAATCTTCACAAGTATTAACCCTATGATGAATGCAATACTTTCGACGCCGGCCACGCCTGTTTCTGTAAAGCTGCCGTAACATGCTACCCTGGGTCATTCTGGCAGGCAGTCCTTCCGACCTTTCAATTATTCTAATTTGATTTCATTCTCAAGCATCTTCATAAACATCGATTGCACCAGTCGTGAATTGCTATCTTTAAAGGCCGGTAGATTCAGTACCAATCGTTATTCACCCATTGAATCAACCTCTCAGTCGGTCAATTTGAGCGAAGAGGTGATCATTGCTACTTGCTCTGCGCCAATCACAAGGCCAAATTGGAGGAAGATACTTCGGTCATCTCACGTGATCTGTATGAAAAAGTATCTTTCTCTAAATCGCGAAGATTTCCTGTTGGATCATGAAAACTAAAGAAAGAGAATCCTGGAAAATCCAAAGGCCTCATGATAATATCAAAAGGGGGGAGGGCTGAGAATACATAGGCATCCAAGCAACGTAGGTGTTGTCTCATTTCTCGGTTATGCCTTTCGACCGCCATTCTCGACCGAACATCATTTAGGATTGAATCTCGGCAATCGAATCTCAAACCTATATATTTCATTGATTACCACATCTTCAAGTAGAATTTGATAAACTTCCTCTTCATCATTCATTTCATCAAATTCCAACCAAAGCTAATACAACGAGTTTTTCGGCAAAACACATCCCGTGCTACTAAAACACCATCCCGGTCTATCATCATCTTTGAATTCTAAACTTCAGAATGAAAGTGGTTCTTTCTGGTAGTACAGGGTACATTGGGGCTGAAGTTCTTTCCCAATGCCTGAATCATCCATCCATAACTTCTATTATACTTCTCACTCGTCGGAATCTCGAAGCCTTGGCTGAAAACCCCAAAGTCAAAGTAATCGTTGTCGACGATTTCACCTCGTATGACGAATCTACCGTCAACGAATTAAAGACTGCGGATGCTGCGATTTGGTGTTTGGGCACATATAATGGCGACGAGAGAGTCGACATTGAATTTCCCCTCACATTCATCAATTGCATAAAGGCACGGCCTCTTGGGTCACCGCAATTTCGATATGTTCAGCTTGGCGGGGCCTTCACCGAACCACCTTCAGAAGAAGGTCAGGAAGAACGGTCTCTGTGGTACTTCTCCAGTGGACGGCGAATTAGAGGTGCAGCAGAGGCAAGGGTCTTGGAAACTTCGGAGCATGGCATTCAGAGCACATTCAAGGTTTATCTTGTCAAGCCCGGAGGAGTGCTACCTAAAAGTGCGGCCATACTTCAGTGCATTTTTGGTAGCTCTTTGTCGGTTGGAATTGTTGAACTGGGCGCCACGATGGTTGATTTAGCGGTACATGGAAATGACAAACAGGTGTTTCAAAACAACGACATATATCACTACCATCCCATGGGTCTCGAAAGATAGACACAACAGCGCCATTGGTACCTCATTCTTCCCGAACACGGATATGTTATCAATCGTACCTGCGTGCTTTTTTGGCCTCGTTCTTTAGATAATATCTACCTTTTGTTTAAAAGCCGAGTGGAGAGCATAGGCGCCTCCTGACATCCTTTGTAATTTTCTTTTCTTCCTATTTAGCGAACGAAATATCATATTATCTGATACGACTTAATGCTTTTAAGATTGTTTCCATTGTTCTGATCTAAAGGATCTATCTAACTACTCTACTCTAAGTAGAGCAAGTAACAATCTAGCGCATGCGATCATATATCACATGTCGCATGGCCTTATATCAAGAATCCGGTCGTCATAAAATCCTGTCACTATCTACCAACCCTCCACTCCACAAACAACCAATTTGCCAACAGAACATCTTTAAATTCTCAAGGGGATGCAAGGATTAAAGTAGGTCGTGAGGCTCAAGCTTTCTTTCTCCAATGCACAAGATATGTATGACTGAACACCAGAAGATGACTCAAGCTGATGGAGAGGCGCCAATTGCTTCAGTGCTTTCATGTAGTCAGCCGCATAAGTTCCTCTCCCATAAAGTTCAAGGAACTTGGTGAGTCCTTTGGCAACTTTCATGTCCGACTGTCCGTAGTGCTTGGTTGGTATGTACAACTTGACGTCTGGAAGCGCATTTGCTTGGTGGATTTCAAAATGGTAGCACATGCCACTGGTACCATGCTCTCGTAGAGGTAGATCCTCCGAGGTTGAGAAGCCTTCTGGAAGGTCAAAGGTCAAGCGCCAGAGGTCCTTGAGTTCCTGGAAATTCTTCTCGAATCCTGCTCGTTTTCCCCCCATGCCGAGAATATCTACTACAGAATCGAAGCTAGCTCTGGGCGTGCGAACATATATCTTTAGTCGGCATTCTGAAGATATCATGCAATCGGTTGAGACTATGAAAGGAGTAGATAATTGTCTTCCATTCTCGTTGTCAGTGAAAAATGACAACAATTGGTCTAACGTGGTCCATTCATGTTTATCTTTCTGTCCGAGGCTTCGAATGGCTGCTATGGTTTTCTCGTGGGCTCGATTGTCAGTTCCTTGCGACTTTGCCCATCCTGGTGGCATGAAGTAAGCCTTGATGGGAGAATCGCTCTTGGGGTCGCCTTTGAGGAATTGAAACGCAAGAAACATTGATGAACTGCCCACATCAGCCAAATCTGCTGCTTGGATATGGTCTCTGGCTTCAGTGACGTCTACTTCTCCAAATATAGCACGAGATACTTGGTGAAACCAACTCAAGTCTACTTTTGGGTTTACAGCATCTAGCTCGCGAAGAAGTTCTCCTGTGGCGGCCTGGTTGAGAGGATCTTGTGCTGTTCCAGTGAGCGGACCAATTGCCTCAATGACCATTCTGAGATCAGGCTTCGACATGTTTCCATTCGACAACATTTTTCCAGTGTCCCATTTCCAACTGTATTCGATTGGCTTAAAGTCGTCTTGCATAAAGGACTTCCATTTGTATGGTGACTCTCCAGAGAGAGAAGAAAGTGCTGGGCGAGGACCGAGGCGTGGTACGCTGCAAGATTAAGGAGTTAGTTTCACCTACCAAGAACTAGGTTCTGAAGAGAAATGGGTAAAATAAGGTATTGATGCTGTGTGGGAAATGAGAGAGTACATGAAATGAAACACAATGGTTTAGATTAAACTTGAGGAACAGAGGCGAGTAGTGAAAACAAGAATCCGACTAAAAGATTGAGCTTACAGAACATGATAGTGGAAGAGCAAGCCCTCATATTGTTGAATGACACTGTATCCAGCATAAAAAAGTAGGGCACCAAGTTGAGGACCGGTTGACTGCCACCAAAAGTCGCAATCATCATTTCGTCGAGGAAGCCACTTGGACGCACTCTTCCAAACAGATGAAGCTGATTTCGAGTTAGGCACAGCCAACTCATCAATAGCTAGGTCATTCATATTTTCCTAGCACACAGTCAGCTTCAGCTTATGCTATATGAGTTTCGAAGAGAATAATTGAGATGGTGATTTGGAACTCAAGCTAAAGTGTAATCGGCTATGCTAGCACAGGGAATTCGTTCCACAGAAACTCAAAGCAGAGACAGATTCAGGTGAAGGGTGGAAGGGTAAAGCTAGCAGCAACTTACTTCTATGGATGTTTCATCAGGCATGTCCTTTTGTAACTTGGAGAAGGACGCCATTGCTTCTTTTGAATGGAAAAGACTTTCAGGCTGAAAAGGAAGAGTACTGTGTGGAAAATATATCAGGCCAAGGAGAGCAAAGAGGTGAACTATATATATATGCTGGGTACCTCGCTAACCAGCAAGGTGCAATTTCGAATGGGAAATAACAATAATTCACTTGACATACTAGCAAGGGCTCAAATGCAAGCCCCGCCTTCAAATAATTAGCTGTGCATGAGTGATTGGGAACCGATATTGAGATGTTGGCCGGGGATTAGTACTCACAAGTATTCACTCCAGACTGTGGCACAATCCTCCAATTGCATGTCGTATTTTGCCATTCGCTGCAAATCAAATTTTAGAATTATTCAATATGGATTTCCTCGGACAATCCTTCATATGCACGCTTCAAGCCACTGTCAGATTATATCCGTGAATGGGCAAGGAAATCATTCATTTGGAAATTTCAAATCCTGGGAAATTGTGATACATACATATCCAGCTTGAACTTCATTTTAATGGTACTTATATAATGAGACTAAGTTACTTAAACAAAAAATTAAGTATTACTCTAGATTTGAGTGTTAGCGATGGTACTGAATGGTAATATGCCCTTCTAATCTAGTAAGTTCGATGCTACAGTGACAGACAAGAATGATGGCTGTTCTCGATCTATTCTATAGGCTGTAGGATAGTCTGAATAAGTCTTAGCTAATGGGCTCTGGCTACCCATTAATACAAAGACTGTTATTGGGTGATTTGGTCGACCATGTGAGGTTAGCGTATGATGCGATTACTCTATGTAGTTAGTATGAACACTCGGTAATAGGTAAGGTAAGATATCTATCTATCAGTTTATTCAGCTCGTCGATCTGATTTACAATGCTCGAATTTGATCATTCACTCTTACATTTCAATTCAAGTTTCGAAAGTGATCCCTGCTCCTCCTGAGAATTCCAACTTCTCATGGTTATTAGAATATTAAGGACTGTACTTCAGAAGAAGTCTTACATTAACTCAGATGGCATCTTTTGATTCTTGAACTCTGATTAGTCTATGACAAGAACAAAGATAATAAAGGAATTAGAGAACAAGTCGACAATTTTTAAAGACCCGTCATTAAGAAAAGAATTTTGGTGTCTTTGTCTAGCATAAAGTCATTGTTCCGGTCCAGTTTAGGTTTTCATGAACAATCGATAGATCTTAACTATAAGGGCAAGATCTGATCCATGTATTCTCTTCATTCAAGTCTCAAGTCACAGCTCTCAGTATATATTCTTTGACTAAACAAACACTAGCATAAAAATCTTCATAAAACATTAATCAAGATGTCTGACACTGTAGAAGCAAGTATGCAAGAACCTCAACCACCACAAGTTGACGCGGTGACCGAGAAGCTAGAAGACCTCACCCTCGGGAATGATAGTGATGAGGCCTGCGATAAGCCTGAAGTCTCTGACAGCTCAAGTGAGTCTTCGCCTCCGCCAACCTATAGTAAGCCCATGACCCCTGGATACAACGTGCTAGAGGCGACGATGCAGGAACCACAACCACCAGCGGTCGATGAACTTACCAAGAGACTCGATAAGCTGAAAGTAGAAAAAGAACGTGAGGAGAACCAAGGAGAGGATGCTGAGGTTAATGAGGATGATGAGGTGACCGAAGCTCAAGCAATCATAGAACGAATCCGTACTCATCCTCGTCGTAAAAACCTTGGTCTACGGGTGCAGGCCTTGATGTCGAAGTTTGAGAAGGATGAGAAGAATGAGAAGTGAGCTTTGGAGCATGAGATGGCAAAGCGCTGGCGCCGAGTTATCTCAAATGTTCTGTCGTGGACTCAAGCGAGAAACGAGTATTTCATTCAAGTATTTCAAGATTAGATCGAAGACGATACTTCGAAAAGTAGCATCATGAGTCAACTCTCTCGAGTGAGAGATCTGTATTAGGATAATCATTCGCTTAAAACCCTACTCCTGAACTTGAAACTTTTCTTCATTACAACAGTAAACAAGTCACCCCTTTCAATAATTAAATCCATTCTCATTTGCTTAAAACTTATAAATCTAGTCATGTCTCTCAGTAACCGTCTTCACCCCGTTCAAAAGTTACAAGTAATGTTCTAACTCTCAAATAATCTTCATCATGTATTGTATCTATAATCTGTGTGTGTTTCTCCATTGACCTTTGTAAACATGCTATATCTTCAGCTTATACTTAGCAAAGATATGTATGAGATACTTGAAAGACAGAAAGAAATTGTATAAACGAATAGTCTCTTTGGACGTTTTTTTCCTATACGAATTACGGTTTAATGATACCCTTTTAGAAGAGAATGAAGTCGTAGAATTTCAATGCAATGCGATGAATATGCAGCAGAATACCCGGTAGATGAACGAGAGTCAAAATGAATAATATACGAAATGAACCTTGGAGTGAGAATGAGGAAGGATATGGAGAAAATGAGTAAAGAAATAAAGGATTCAAGATCATGATCGAGTTGAATGATTTTAAATTATCAAGACCAGTAGAGTTCAACAGGAATATCGAATCAACATAATGATTGGTAAATGATTATTTGAAAGGTTTCAAAAAGGAGAAAATGAAAATTGAGAATCTCAAAACATTTCTGCTACTACTTTAGAAATGTGTTGACGTGGACAATTTACTCTAATAGACACAAATCGCTCAAATGACAAGCCCTATCAGTGAGTCACCCTCACAACAAGCAATGAAGTCGCTTATCGATATTATTATCCTCAGCTACCTGTCTCGTCTAATACAAATCGATCTTTAATGTTAACCGTAAAGAAGAGTGTATGGAATTCCAGCAGCAACAAACCAATCATGTCCCAGTTCGTCGTGATACTTTACCATCTGTTTTAGCATTCCGTTTATCTTCTCATCAATCGGAGCACGAGCTTCTCGATAGCTACATACTTTATGTTTCTGGGTTTTCTCTTCTCCAAGATATTGTGAATCTTTTTATGTGCCAAATGAGTATCTGGGTCATATGCCTGCATATTTTCAATGGTTTCTTTCTTTGTCGCTTCCAGTAATTTACGTTCTTCGATTACATCTGTGGATGAACCAGATCGCGAGCCTGTTTTCGCCTTTTTATATAAACAAAGCTCCGCCTTAGCCGAATGGAATGCAGCCTCAAGTCCGGCTTCTGCTGCTACTTTAAGATCGTCGCTTGGTGGAGATTCGATGCAACTCATATCTTCCTCCAATTCCCGTTTACTTTTGGTTGCAGCTTCTAGCTTGTCATAAAGATTCTCGATTGTCTTGACCAGATTGGGATCAAGGACCCATTCTCTTCCATTCCAGTATTGTCCTGTATGGTTATTACCACAGCCCTTGTTGTCTCTGATATTACGAGAAGATTTTGAAGGTGTAGGATTGCTCTTTTGTCTATTCTTCTGGACGTCTTCTGTGCTCTTACCTTCACTGTGCCGTCCGGAATATCTAACCATGATAGTAAACAAGACAATCAATTCCTAACCTCTTCCGTGCTAATGATCTTTTAAAATCGTGGTAATGGCAAGGTGTATCGTTCAAAATTAGGTGTTCTTTTCGTTTGTCACATCAACTGATTAATTGTATATAGTATGTCGATAATTTTGTTGGTAATTATCCTAGGCAGCAACACCCGGTACCTATTCATTCAAGGCAGAAGACAAATCAAGCGGGCCAAAACTTGACAAACCTGAGCCAGTTGGGTAGTATCACGATGCCTTAAATGAATTGGCGATTAATATGCCCAAATACGAACATCCTATAAATGCGACGTCCCAAATAACGCAGTTCTGTGATCTAGTATTGTCACTACTTGAAATGCTGCAGAGCTTTGATCCGATGCTTGCAAGACAGAATGAAAAAGGCAAAGTCCACGTCTATTCCCACGTTGATTTTTGAGTGGCCTTGAAGATTGGGGCTCATGAAGTATTATGGCGACCGTGGACCTTTGAGATCTTTCGCTTGAAATGGGAAACCCATTCGAGCCATTCCAGCCCAGCTTCCGAGAAATGCGGTTCAACTCATGTCCCACGAAGTGACGAATACTTCAGAATTGAATCGATGGAAACTAGACCTACAATCCATATCTATCAACCATCGAGAACAAACCGTTGAATCGCTATGCTAGCTTTGCGCATCTGTCCTCTTGTGGACAGTACAGAATATCAATCAGCGACATGTAGTTTGCAGAATGTTTGTTTGAGCGTGATACATCATCTAGCAGCGATTGAAAATGCCCGTATAACGAGAAAGGCAATTTTCAAGAACGAACATCAACAAATCACTTGATTTATCGAGTTGCCGTTAATAACAGCAAGCCTTTTCCCTTGACCCTTGAATTTGTAATCCCATAATTACACTGCATTGAAAACGATCGGTAATGCCGCATCACATCGATATATTTTCTCAGCAATTTCAAAGACAATAACTTCTGAATAGATGAAATTCCTTGGTTGAATCCAGCTCCAACAATACCTCGTCGATGCTACATGAAGTATGTGACTAAAAATGTTATATTAATGTAAAAGGGAATTGAGACGAGCGAGATAAAACTTTTGAGAAATCCGCATGACTAAGCAAAGCATGACCAAATCCCCTTTCACCAAGATTTTTCCGGGTGCAGCATAGTTGAACAATTACAGATTTTGCTACCACGCGGTTTCTTAAACTCTTCAAACCTCCACTGTCTCGGGTGAAGTTCGCCGTCGAAAGGTCATTCATGCTTGGCAGGAATTACTACCAGGAGGAAAAATTGAAGCCAGTTTGCACGTGACCTTTCCGTCACATTTCTTGAGGCCTTTTCTTCACGTATCACCGCATATCTGAACAGTGATGCCTTCCGATCCACTTACCTACACTTGTACCTGCCATCAGACAGGCCTCGTGCTTCTCTTTTATCGTTACTTTACCTCCCCACCTCAACTCCCTTCACCACATTATCCACTCACAACTTCTACCCTCAAAGAATTGCATGCCTTCCAGAAGTCGACATGTGAAGCTCTAAATCTTACTGGCAAAATTCGAGTCGCGAAGGAAGGCTTCAATATCACTGTTGCCGGCACGACGTCGGATGTGCATTCGTATATCGAATCTTGTATATCTCATTGGTCGTTCGCAGGGTTAGATCTATCTCTAGACAACGAGAAGGGAATCAAGGAGTTCCTCAAACCTACAAAAGGCTGTGCATGTGTTTTCGTGGATCTGAATACCCGCATTGCGGATGAAATCACACCGTTAGGAATCACAAACTACGAGCCTAAGAATTGGAACGCGGTTTCGTATCTCAGTCCTGCGGAGTTTCATGATATGGTCGCGACTACGGCAGATGAGGAAGGAGAAAGAATATTACTGGATATACGGAATCATTACGAATCGCGGATTGGCTATTTTGAGGCACCGGAGGAATCGGGTATCCAGACTGTGAAGCCACAAGTTAGGAGATTTTCGCAGTTTCCAGCGTTTGTGAAGAAACATATTGATTTCACCTCTCGTTCTTCACCCGAGAGCGAAAAAGAGCATGTCAGTGTCGGCAGAACGATTTTCTCGTACTGTACAGGTGGTATTCGCTGTGAAAAGGCTACAAGGTGGATCGCTGAGAATGTAGATCAAGCCCCGCAAGACAGAATTTACACCTTGAAGGGAGGTATATCGGCTTACATGGCATGGTTTGAGGAAGAGATGACCGCTGGGAGGAAGAGAGAAGATGAGTGTTTATGGAAGGGAAGGGAATATGTTTTTGATGGAAGAGGATCATTGGGTTTAGGTAATGAGAATGAAAGGAGGAAAGTAGCGAAGTGTCATGGCTGCGAGAGGGAGGAAGACAGAATGGGAAAATGTGGCATTGAAGGGTGTGAGTTGGTGTTAGTGGTTTGCGAGGCCTGTGAAGGTGTCAAGTGCTGTAATAGTTGTGGAGATGAAGATGAAAAGGGGAGAAGAATTATATGTGATTGTGAACGGCAAAGAGAATTTAAGCTTTGGGGAAGTGAGGGTATGAAAGGCGTGAAAGGCGTTTCAGCAAAGCAGAAGAAATCATATGAAAGAGGGAAGAGGCAGATTCGAAATGATACCATAGATATCAGAGTTAGAATAGTAGAATAAATAATCATTCATTAATATATTACCATATTCGATAAAGTATGTCGCGTTGCGAATTAGAAAAGCTCAAGTGGGCATCCCTGGTCGACGCTCTTTTTGGGCATTTTATCCACAATAATCTCCTTTGTCAACTTCATCAATTGCTCGCCCAACTCCTCATCCTGTGAAAGGGAGCTTCCCGGCTCCGGGATTGCTGGTGGACAGATATACAATCCACTTTCTTCTACTGCAGTACTTGCGTATAAGGTACTGACACAGCCGTCCCATTGATCCTTCTTCAGCGGCTTCATCAAGACAGACATGCCATATCCGAGTACTGGATATGGCTCATGAATATCAACTTGTGACATTTTCGTGTCGACAAATCCTGGATGCACGGAATTGACCAAGATTTTGGGATACTTGGAAGTAAGATGACGGGCCAAATAGCGGGAATAAAGCATAGCAGCCAACTTTGATCGTCCATATTGACCATTTGGTCCCAAATCGGTATTCAACTCTTCCTGGTTTGCAAATTTGCAATCGCTTGGGGTGGCTTGATGAGCATTCGATGCCATGTTTACGATTCTAACAGTATTTCCTGCCTCTGCTGTTTTCTTGAGGATTGGCATCAAGTGACTGGTGAGAATAACGTGGCCGAAATGATTGACAGCCATGTGTCTATCAAGACCATAATCGGTAAGTTGATAGGTCATGATTCCACGTGCAGCGAGATTGCATAAGACATCAATTCTATCGGTGCTTTCAGATATCGTGTGGGCAACCTTGCATACGGAAGGCCAATCAGATATGTCACACTTAAGGAATGTACATTTTTGAGCTGCCTCGGGCGAGATAGTCTTTGAAATGTCTTCTACAGCACCATCATAGACTTCTTGGGATACAGCAATGATGAACAGCTTGGCGAGGTTGTTTTTGAGCAGAGTGTGTGCGCAACCATAGCCAATACCTTCGCTACCACCAGTAATCACCGCTACCTTTTCACTCTGATCAGGGCAATCCTCGAGGGAAAATTGGTGCTCTGGTTTTGCAAGAGAGTGTCTACAAACAATTAATACAACGAATATTTGGGGAGAATAATGGATACATACGCACTACCGAAGTTTTCGGCAATTGTGTCCTTAACTGCTTGCATGATTCCGAAACTGGAGATGGGAGAATCTGTATGTATAGAAAGAAACCTTGATGGTAAATATTTGATTTGATATACTGGATACTAGTAGGTGTTTATGAGGGAACTCTGTTGTTTTGAAAGTTGTATAAAACTTCGATCTATCTATATGTAGGTGAAGTCAATAGTCATGATGTCACCACGTCCTAGTGTTGAGGCAAACATCATACCGCGGGGTAAAGAAAGAAACGGCTCCCTATGCCATCACTTTGTGTCTTACCTACTAGGTATACCTAGTAGGTACATGTTGTCAACCATACCAAGGGCCGCTTAGTTAAAAACCATTACGACATGTACACTTGCATAATAAGTATTCACGTATCATCTAAGTGAGCCCCAAGGTTCTCATTGGAGCCGGATCACATACTTAATGAGACACAAAATTCCTGCTTGATAGTATCAATTGTAAGACAACCCAACGAATCATGGCTTCGCAGTTCTTAATTATTTACTGGCTAGAACTCCCTAGTTGCATATTGGCCCTGCATGTTGGAAGCGCCGTTTATCATCTTACATTTATGCCTCAATGTACTTTTTAAGGCCTCGTAATCTCTCTTTCGCTGATTCAAGTACCTGATCTTCCTTGCATACAGCAAATCGTAGCCAGTCTTCGCCAATGTGTGCATTCTCATCGGTATAAAACTCGGTTGGAGGAATAGCAGCTACGCCAACCTCTTGTATCAAGAACCAACTCAACTTGAAGTCTCTTGGGCGGTCCTTAACGTGGTCTGGAAATGGATAGTCCGCTGGAATCTTGACTTTCTTCATGTTCACCAAAACAAAATAACCACCTTCAGGATCGGAGAATGGAAGGTCCAGTTCTTTCCAAATCTCATTGAAAAGATTCATTTTACCCTTCATTTCAGTTATGGCTGAGTTCCAGAAGTCATTAGCATCGGCCTCTTCAAATCCAACGGCCGCAGCTTCTTGTAAGGGTGACACAGAAGAATAGCAGATTCTCGTATGTGCTGCTGCAACATATTGAATCAAGTGTGGTGGTCCGATCAACCATCCAACACGCCATCCAGTCGCGTAGAAGTTCTTTCCAGCAGACCCAACTGTAAGTGTAAGTTTCTCAATTTCTGGAGATAAAGTTGCCATTCTTGTGAATGGTGTATAATATAATCGGTCATACACTTCGTCGGAAAGGATGATGATTTCGTTCTTGACGCAAAGTTCTCCAATCTTGAGCAATTCCTCCTTTGAAAAGACCTTGCCGACCGGGTTGTGAGGCGTGTTGAGAACGATCATCTTTGTCTTAGGTGTGATCGCTGCCTCGAGCTCGGCGAAGTTTATTGTCCATTCTCCCGCAGAAGTATTCTGAGCTGCGCCCTTCTCAGGTGGATGTAGAGGTACGTAGCGGATCTTTCCACCTGGCATTTCTATGTTGCTGATATATCTGTGAAGATTCAGCATCGCATTTGTGAATTCATGTTCGGTACATCGTCTTACTGGTCAAAGAATGGCTCGAATATTATAACCTCGTCCCCTTCTTCGATGAATCCCATGAAGGCACTTAGCATGCCTGCAATTGGTAAGCGTATATTCCGTAACTTCGTGGTATCCCCTAACCTTCATTTGCACCGGTTGTGATAGTGATCTCCGTGTCGGGGTTCAGCTTTCTCCCCCATAAGGGAGAGTATGAATCTGCAATTGCTTGCTTGAGACGTGGACGACCCTTGGTTGGCGAATATTGATTGCATTCGACCTTATCGAGAGCTGCCTTGGCGGCATCGAGGATAAATTTAGGAGGATTATATCCGAAGAAACCTTGGCCCATGTTTACAATAGGTTGCTTGGGAGAGGCGGCAGCAGCCTCATTGACAATGGTCCTGCAGATGCATTATGTTAGAGATATGATAACAATGGCAGAAAGCCATGGGCTTAGAGAGAATGTTCAGCGGTTCCCGTGCTTTGCACTTGCGGACTTGTAATTAATGTTGACAATTGAACTTCCATGAGACACAGGGCTAACCTATACATACCAAACATCTTGCTTTCTTGCGGCAACCCGAGCAGCAGGTTGAAGCTTAGATTTGTTACTCATGGTGGGGTGAAAGAAGCGGGGAGATGTAATTGAAGAGGTTTTGATAAATTGTCCTGTCAAGGATGGTGCCAAAAGAAATGAAGATTTACGAGTTATCATTGATATCACCGGTACTTTAAGAGAAAGAGAAAGAGAAAGAGATAGGGAAAGGAAGAAAGGTGGGATAAGATAGTGATGATGAATAATCCCTTGAAGATTTTGATATTATTCACAGTTTCTCATACTCTTCTATCGTACCGGTACTTTATTTACTGATTAGGTAGTCGGGTGCCGGTGTCGCAATGTCGGTGAAGGTGGAAGCTCCCCTCCCCTCGCTCCCGTAAAGCTGCAAACACTAGCGGCCGTCTTATCAAAATATGGGGATACGAGTCGGGATCAACGAGAAGGAGGAGTATTAAAGTTTACCATCCGGAAAACATCACCATTTATTATCAACGCAAGATCACTGCAAGAAAGCTCATCAACTGCTCTTGTATCGATACAATGATTCTAGATTGACAATAAGACTGCTTGGCCTCGAGCTTGAGATAGAAATTGAACCCCGCCCACCTTCGCCTTTCTCAATTCTCCATTCAACAATGACTTCAAAACCAAGCTCTGCGGCTTCATCACTATCAAAGCCATTGCATCTTACCATTCGATTCGCAGATTCGATCCCGGATCTGCTTTTGGACATCCCCACTCAGAACAATGTTACTGGTGTAGGATTGAAACATTTGGTCCGTTCAAAGCTTGAACCTCCAGCATCACAACGTCGATTTCGATTTATATATGGGGGAAAGTTTATACGAGATGATGATTTCCTAACAGCTATACTTAAAGTTCCAACACCTCCTCCACGGGCTGTAGATGCGAAAGGAAAAGGAAAAGATGTAGAACTACCACCTCCCAGGGTATACATCAACTGCTCAATCAGTGATGATGACCTAAGTCCTTCCGAGCTCGAAGCAGAAACATTAGCAGCTACTACCGCACTCAATAAGGCAAAGAAGGAAAAATCACCAGATACAGCTTCTACGAGTCTCGGCACACCAACTTCAAGCACAACGGTTGCACCGCGTGGCTTCAATCGATTCCTCTCCGCTGGGTTTTCCCCAGCTGAAGTGAATCAACTACGACTTCAATTCCAGTCAATTCAAGCAAGCATACATACACCAGATACTATGCCGTCTCCTGATACCTTATTACGGATGGAAGATTCTTGGATAGATAATAATGCAGGGAATGGCGCAGGTAGAGTTGAGGGTGGCTTTGACTTTGGGGACGATGGTATGGGTAGTGGATTTGATGATTTATTATGGGGCAACATTATGGGATTCATATGGCCTCTTGGATGTGTTGTATGGATATTAAGAGAGCCTGGAATATTGTCATCAAGAAGACAAATCGCTGTTTTCACGGGGTTCCTTTTAAGTATTACATTTGGGTTTCTAAAAGTTCTCTCATGATACGCAGAGATCGTTGAGCTAACTTTTGAAATTGCTGAGGGAGCTTTCATCTTATGTCTTCACATCTGTCGATGCGAGAGTGCCAGCGTCTGGGCGGGGTTTCAATGGAGTAGTAGAGGCGTTTTGAGAGAGATGGCGATGATATTTTACCTCGATTGTAAAAGCAGGTGCTTGCATCTTATGTTCCTTGCTCCGGAAGAATGAGAAAATAAGTGAGCTCCCGATGGAGTTACTGGGGCGTTTCTGGAGAAATGGTGACAGCGACGGAAGCTCTACATGATACCCGGTCATCTAATCCATATTAACATAGCATTGAAGATTATTGGCTTGTCATTTTCCCCGAATTCGGAATATTTTTATTCAACGGGTGAGAGTGCATTCAAATGACGCCAAATTGGTGGTCACAACAGGCCTCCCTCTACGGCCGTGAATGTTTCTAGTCATTATTTGCGAGTATTTAGGTAACCTTCCCAGCCATTCAACTTAATCAAATGCACATAAAGTTCCTCGGGGACTTTGCGTAAGCCGCCTGTCCCTTTTATCCAGCTGAGTATTATGCCACGGCTTCTTTACCCGCTGTACTAAGCAAATAATATCACCTGTTTGCATTGGATGCGTTGAGCGAGCGTTGAATTTCTCATTTCCATTGTTTCAAGACCAAATCTTCTACTTTCTTTTTCAACACTTTCATTTCTTTGCGTTATCATTCAAATTCACCACATTCAATGACAGGTGTGTGATGGCAACACCATTGCGCCAATATTTGATCGCCGACCATATATCATGGTTAGTTACTTTTCGCCTACCTTCGGCTGCTTGCATATTTTGCAGCACCTTGGCGGGATCTGGTTCATCCGTCCAAGCAAAACGGGCCCGGCACTTTGGGACGAGTCATAGATAGCCAGGAATCATCGCTGCCGTCAAACCCAAACTGTTGGAGGTTTCTTTGAGTATCGGAATAAGCTGCAATATGTACTGGTATGCAAGACACGAAAGATGTGGCATTACAAAGTTTTGCGTTGGGGAGATGACCAGTTGAACGAAGATATATTACTTTTATAATAGAAAGACTTTTTCTTTACTCATTTATATTTCATTCGAGGTTTTGTTCTGTATGAATATTTGCATTTCTTCCATACTTTAGTGATTCCATTAATGTGGTTATACTTCAAACGATAATATGGCAACATCGCAAGAAGCAATTGATGCTTTTAATGCAGCTGGCGGAAGCGGTCAAGATACACAAGATGATACAATTTCCAATCCGATCGAAGTTGATGTAATTATCCTACCAGAGTTATTTAAAAATCAAAGCTTACTAGTGAAGGACAACGACGCACTTGAGAATGATTCCGCATTCGGTGGATCTGCAGCGTAGGTAATCACTAAAGTTTTCGAACGTACACTAATATCAGCATAGGAGCAACACGAGTAAGACATCGTTAACGTCTGGAATTACTCGATATAGGTGAGTACTTCATGATTCTTGCTGGAAGTACGTAAGCTGATTCAGCTACTCAAGAGAAGAGGTATGGTTCGGCTTTCGTATACTTGAAGTGATCAAACATACTTACACCTTTTAGAATGGTCGGAGATATCATGCTTATAGAGATGGTAAATATCTGATGGTAAGATACATTGTTTGTACCATCTACAGAACAGGACTGAAAATTCAAGCCCAACGATGATGACGAGCAAGATCGCATGGATCTAGTATGTATATGAACGTTCCAATTCTGGCAAACCCGATCTGATAGATATCCAAAGCTTCATCACGTTTTCAATCTTGTTTTAGATGGCAAGCTGTACTTGGCCCCGATTGAGAACCCTCAGCGGGTACTTGATGTTGGAACCGGTACTGGGATTTGGGCTATTGATTTCGCCGAGTATGTGTAAACCTGCTTAAAGGAGAAGAGATTCCTAACTTCGCTTCTAGTCAATATCCTTCATCGCATGTTGTGGGCTGTGACTTATCTCCAATTCAACCTGGCTGGTATGATGTTATCTTATCCTTGTACAAGTGTTTGCTAAGTTACTCGTAGGATTCCTCCAAATCTTGAATTTGAAGTAGGTCAGTGCTATCGCCTTACTAGATCGAAATACTGACTATGATTAGATCGATGATGTCGAAGATACATGGCGTTATAGTCAGAAATTTGATTTTATACACATTCGCTCCTTGGGCGGTTCTATAGCTTCTTGGTATGTTTTATGATTATACCTGTAACAGGACAATCCATCACTACAATACATCATATTAACTAATCATACCCAGGCCTCATCTTCTCGACCAAGCTCGTGATAATCTGAATGAGGGAGGGTTTATCGAGCTTGTAGATTTCGAATAGTGTGTTTCAGTTTCATTCTACCCTCTTTCTTGATTCTTCATCTTATAACGTTTCACTCATCACTTGAACGATTCAAATCTAAACTTCTACCATAGCCACGGATACTCAGACGATGGGACAGGAGAGGTACATATCATCCTATGCCCGACGACATGGCCCCTTTTACGTCCACTAACGACTTAACAGCTCGCCCCATCGTTCCAAAAGTGGCAAGCGGGCCTTGATGAAGCATCCAGATTATTCGGCCGAGACTTGAATGTCGCTATGAAATTCAAAGATTGGTTGGAAGAAGCTGGATTTGAAGCAGTGGTGGAGAGACATTGGAGGGTATGTTTTATTCTCTATTTCGTAGGAAAGGAAAGGATGCAAATGGGATCTCTCTCGAGTATTGGACGAGTCTTAAGAATGATTTACACTTCTAGAACTCCATGTCTCGAAGAATAGTCCACAACTTTTGTTAACCATCATCTAGCTCCCTATGGCACCTTGGGCTCGAGATCGTCGCAACAAGGAAATTGGCCTCTATATGCAACAAAACATGTTAGACGCAACTGTCGCGTACGGAATGGCGCATTTCACACGGATATTAGGATGGAGTCCGGAAGAGTAAGTTTTCCTCTTTGACACTCAACCACTCCCTGTATTCCCCGCTCTCCACTCTTCCTTACCCCAACCCCATCCTCTCCACTCCCGTCTCCCCCTCCCACTCACCCCCCACTTCCAAAACAATCCCCATCATCCCAAACTAACCACCCCCATCAAATCCAGATACCAAGTCCTCGCCGCCGGCGTCCGCAACGAATTCAAAGACCCTCGCGTCCACAATTGGTGCAACATGTATGTCGTCCACGGACGCAAACCTCTCAGTAGCGGAGAGGAAACTATTGCGCCTGCGGTGGGAGCACCTGTGCTTTCTCTTGGTGCTGGGTTTGTCTCTGATAGAGAGATGAAGTTGGGAGGGAAGGAAAATAAGGAGAATAATAAGGAGGGGAAAAATACGAATACGAGAGAGGAGAAAGTAAGCAGTGAGAAAATTGAGGAGCAGAAGAGAGATGAAAGCGATATCGCAGCCGCGGTTCAAGAAGCGGCGGATAATGTGGTGGCGCGGGGAAAGGGAAAGGGGGAGGGGAGCGTATTGGGAAGTGTATCTGCAACTGCAGCGGGCAAGGGGAAGAAAAAAAGTGGTAATGACTTCGTTGGGGAAAAGGAAAATGAGGTGATGGTGTAAAGAAAGGAAACTTGAATTGGATAGCGATGACAGATAGTTCTATAATCTCGATGGGGAAAATATAGCAGGAGATGAGGAGGTGAGGAGATAAAGTATGGTTCCCCAGGGAATGAATGATGATGGGTGGGGATTTTATGACTTTGTTGTTTATTTACTGTGGTAAATTTAATGCAGTGTAGCGTAGTGAGTGAGTGAGTGAAGAGGAATGAGATGGAATGGAATGAAAATTAAATGATAGGAGATACTAATTAGCTTGAGTATGTGTATGAGTATGAAGATATGCATATGGATATGGAAATAGTTAATGCAATCTCACAATACCTATAAAGTAATTTGGCCGAGATAGGACATCTATAGGAATCCATCCCACTGTATATAGTGTCTGCACTGCACCAATTCCTCAATCATAAAAATCTCTTGATATGCTTGTCAATTTGGTACCATCAGATTTGAAATTAAAATAGTCCACAAAAACAATAAACACCTACAACCAAAAAAGATTCATCAATCTTGCTTCCAGCTTCCAACTTCCAGTTTCTAATTCCACACAATCTCAATATCTTGTCCCGCCTCCATAACATCACCACCTCACCCCCAATCTCCATCCCCATCCCTATCCGAACAATACTTCACCCAAAAAACCCAACTCAACTCAACAAAACCCTCACCCCCTTACTATCCAATCCCGGCTGGGGCAAAAAATAATCCCTCTTCATCCTAACATCTCTCTCGAAATCCGTTTCGTAGAGACGGATTTCGAAACGCGATATGACGACTGCGAGCGCGAGGTGGATTTCCGCTTTGGCGAGACTTTATGATGATGGGTGGGGATTGTTAGCTAGTGGTTGTGGATCGAAGGATGGGATAGAGAGGAAGAGAATTTTTGTGGAGTTTTATGCTGCGGATTGATAGGGAGAGGGAGGGGTGTGGATAGGATGGTTTAGGGTAGGTTAGGTTAGGTTAGGTTATGTAGGGAATGGAAACGAAGAGAAGATATACATACACCTGGCCAATACAACTTCTTGAGCCGCGCGAGAAAGAAACAAGATACTTTTCAAGAGCGTGGTTTATACTGCCATTTTCTAAAATCCATCGTTCGGGGATAAATTGATGGGAGGAAGGGAAGATGTGTTCATTGTGGTGTTGAAGCATTGTGCTCATGCCGATGGGTGTCTATTGGGAGGATTGTCTTAGAAGAGACGTTGGAGAGGAAGAAGATTACAAAGAATAACTTACACCGGCGGGGATTTCCCATTTGCCATATCGTAAGTTCTCGTTGGGTGCGATGCGAGCTAGACGGCTTGTGACGCCGTAGGAAAGACTTTTGTTCATTACTATCTAGTCATCTTCAGATTGCACGTGAAATCGAACTCACCGTAATCCTTCAAGAGCACAAGCATTCTAGATCTCGAGTCAGTCCTGTACATCCCTCATTTATGATCCCCGACACACTCACCAAATAAACTAATCTCTCCACCATCCCCAGCTCCACTTTCTTCATGCCCTCATGCGCTCTCCTCCCTAATCCCACACCCCTCAATTCTTCTCTCAACTTCTCACACCTCACCGCATCACTAGCTAGATAATACATCAAAATCATCAACGTATGAGCCGTCGTATCCGTGCCCGCCCCAATGATATTGATCGCCTCCTGACTCATATTAGAGAACTTCTTTTCGCTTTCCGGTAAAGAAGAGGAGAGGAAATTATGAAATATGGTACGTGGGAAGCCATTGATAGGGGCATCGACTGGGAGGATGGTGCCTGAGAGGATTTCGCTGATTTGGGTGCGAATTTTCTGAGAAGACTTGTGTTAGCTGCAACTTAGCGAGAGGAAAGAGCTAGAAAAAAGAATAGAGGAAATACGATATAGTACATTATGATGGTCAAGCGTAAGAATAACGCTCGGAGCAAATCTGTTTAGTATCCAGTGCGGGGTACGTTCCATCAAGGTATAAATACTTGGAAGAAATTTGGCCCATTTTGATACAACAGATAGAGCAACAAAGGTTTGTGACCATGAGGGATTGAAATCTGGAGTCTATAGAATTCTATTAGAAGTGTTCTCAAACAAGAAGGGTGGGATGTACATCGAGATGGTTCCAACAACGGTTGGTTGCGTAAAGTGTAACGATATCGGCCGTGTAACATTGAAAGGGAAGACGAATGATGAGCGGTTGATTCGTATTACGGAACTCTTCGAGGCGTGATGAGAGTTTTTCGACCTACAGAGAGATAGAGATGTTAAGACTAACCCGGAACACTTAAAATTGGCGTGAAATGAGATAATTTAAACAGCCACTGGGAGGAGACGAACGCTTCAGATTTGATAGTTTAGTGGATAGCAGACTTACCATAGAAGTTAACATAGGGGAAAGGCGATCAATCGAAGCTTTTGAGAAGAATGGATTGAGTGCAGACCTTCTCATTCGATGAATATAGTGATCCTCGGCTCCAAATTCAGTATCTGGCGTGTTAAACTGTGCTGTGTAGAATGGATCTTTGTTTCTCACGCCATTATAAGAGAATAGGGTGTTGTAGTATTCGGGATCATTGATATGAATTTCATTTGGCCCGATCCGGATAATTGGACCTAAAGAGAGTATTCAACATGATGGTACTTGATTTTCCGAGGTATCGATTGGCAAATGGACATACCATATTTTTCGTGCCATTGTGAAATCTTGAGGAAATACTGGCCTGATTGGATGCATTCATGATAAAATTCCGACCAGAGGGTGACTGCAGGCAATATAGGACCCGGAAATTTGGATAGCGGGTGGAAGTAAAGACGATATACAACGCCCAAGATGCAGTAAGTAAGAATTGAAGTTCCAAGAATAGCTACCACGTCAAACCGACTAATATCAGAGGACAGCATTTTCAAAGAAGGACTGAATCAATCACAAACGATCAAAGTCGGAGCATGACAATGCAGAAGAATTGGGGACTGCAGAGTGATGATAATGGAGAAGATATAAAGACATGACTGCACACCATAATGTATACTATGCTTAAGCATCGTCACCGTCACATGGAGGACAACAGCCTCAACAAATTGAAGCATCAACATTTCCCCCTTGTCCAAAAGCAAGTAGCCATTTTTTGAGAGCGGGGCTTTCAGATGACATACAGATCTCCACGCTTTACGAGCAGCCCAATTGGAATTTGCGTAGATGTTGTAGTTTACATGGCGTGTTGTATTCCGATGTCAATCTAGCATTATAAGAAGTTAAAGTGTCTTGCGTAGGCTCAGTACTTGGCTGGTAAGCATGTAGTACTCATAAATGCATAGATGGTTGCGAGGAGTCTTATCAGTGCTTCTTTGGGACCTGTCTGTGCAACACATTACCGGTAACAAGAAAAATATGACGGGTAAAGACATTTTGTCAATACCAATTGGTAAGATAGACCACATGAAACAAGGATATACATGTAGCTGTGGTGCCATGATTTCTCATCCTCAGGTATTTGGTACCCACCCAGAACAGTTGAGATGGATGCCCGCACATGCTTAAATGCATGGTATTCTTTAGATCATATGTTTGTGACTCGTGATATGCAGAGGAGATTTGCATCGGTATTCACCTCACCCGACAACGATAGATAGAGACTCAACATGATATGTAGAAAGTATGTACACAGAGAGGCAAATTCGCTGACTGCAGCAAAATATGCAAATGAGTTGGCAAGAACGGATTGGGAAGTGATCAAAGAAAGTATCATCACAAAGTGCCAGTGCGAGGTTCAACTACATGCCATGCACTTGCCCGAACCACGCGATTGATATTGTATCTCGGACCGCTACCGAACTGCACTCGGGATTTCTCATCGAAAACTTGACTAAAACCAATCAACCTACCTTTACACGAATTGCTATTTGGAACCATTTAATGTAAACCAATTGTACAAAGTTATATTAGAAATCAGCCTATGGCAAAGTGTAACTGAGAACCAAGCACCAAAGAACGCCCCCGTCGAAATGCAAGAAGTCTATCTGAACTTGCTAACAATAACAGCAATGATAAGAAGAACTAAGACTGTTATAATGGCCACGGTGATTATCCGGTTGGTAGCCATCCTAAAAGAGGGTGGTCAGCATGACATCCCCGGCAGTTATGAGTGGAGCAAGGGACGATTTACCTACGAGACATCCCCCTCAACGTCTTTACACTTCTATCAACGAACCCCTCGCTCTGTATCAATGTGTCATGTGTATGTTGAATGGTCTCTCTCTGTCTATGTAAATCTGCGAGCGTACTAGCACCAATAGCCTCCGTCTCATGGGCTAATGCTTGACTGGCCTTTAATCTCTGCGAGCTTCGGTCTAATCTGTCTGTTCCTGATAGAAGTTGTTGTCTTTGTTCGAGTTGAACATCGTTTGGATTATCGGAATAGCGTGAACCAAATAGAGCTGATCGGTCGTTTTGTAAAGTCTTTAGTTTCCTCTTTGATACATCCACATCTGATTCATGATTTCGAAATCGTTGGTTAACTTTGGTACGAGTTGCAGAAGGGATATTTTGTTTCTCGAGTCGCATTTGATCAAGCTAGATAAGAGTAAGTACTAGATAACAAACATTTTATTCCTTGAGCCTACCAATTCATTTGCCTCTTCTAATGCTCTCTCAGCTTGACTTATGGCAGCTTTACGAGGTTCTCCAGTAAGGTCGGGGATTTGGTCCAACTTTTGATTTAAATCGGCTTGAACGAGTTTGAGCTCTGCTTCATAACTGCTGAAGAGCTCCGAGCCTGCATCGGTATCGAGAGGATTTGACATGATTGAAAACGGCAGGTGATGGAATCAACGGGTATGAATGTGATGGGTATCGAAAAGGAGATTTGGGTTATTTCAAAGAATAACTATTGATGATCGGTGCCTTATGAAGGCGTCGTAATGTGGTAAAGTAACACTGAGCAAGCAAGCAACGCAATACTTCCTTCCTTTCCCGGTTCAAAGTCAAAGAGTATGAGAGTGTGAGAGTATGTATGTATCACAAAACCATGGGATGGAGAGGGGGGAAATATGATAGATGATAGGTCAGTAGTTTTATCTTTAGAATAATGTATAATGTACAGTTGTGTTTTGATTATTGTTGTTAATGCATTGACAATTCAAGGAAGGGGAAAGGAATGGGAAACTGGAAGTTGCGACGTCTAAAACAACATTACCAGGTAACGACTAGGTTAAATGTCAGCCTTGGGGAGTTTAGTTGTGGCTCAGATAAGGGCTCAAGTGTCATGTGATGTGATGCATGTGCCACTTGTCATAGGTTTTTTTATTTGATCAATTTGTTCCATCTACGTAGATGTTCTCTACTAGGTATTTCTGTTCCTATATGGATGGGATGGATACTTGCCTCAGCTTGCTACTTGTTCCTGCCCATTCATCGGCGTTAATAAAATCCGATCACCCGAAGTTCGCCCTTTGAAGCTACAAATGCATACTCCGTACCTACCTATCTATCTATTCTTCTCGATCTCTCTAGCTAGATAGTATTGATCTAGTATCGAGCTATCCCGTATTCATCCTCGTCTCTCGTCCTCGTACCTGGCTTAACCTTAGCCCCTGCTATCTTTTTCTGATCTTCACATCCATCCCACCAAGTTTCAGCATCGCAATCGTATGAATTGAAGCTTGAGCACAGATGGAGGAAGGGGGACGAGCTCCGAGAGAGAAGAGAAGAGAAGAGAAGATTGAGAATGAGGAGGAGGAAGAGGAAGAGAGGGAAGGAAAGGAAAACCTGACCATCTACTTTACTAACAACCACTTGTCTTTTCATCAAAGTTCTATAACAAATCATTCTTCCGCTTCTCCCTTCCTAAAACCTCTATCTATATCTATATCTTCATCTTCTTCATCTACGCCTATGTTTATATTTATATCTACATCTACATCTAAATATATATATCGAACTTTATAACAGACCACTCAAATAGTACTCCGTACTCGTGTAGTAAACTTCAATCAAAAAAGTCAATTGAACGCAACACTCACACAAAAGAAATCATTCAAAGAATGCCATCATCAACTAGTTCTCCGAGCTACGAGCACACTATTTCCAATACCAATACCACTACTGCTTCAGCTGCAGCTACCCCCGCCACCACTCAAGAAAAGCCGCTTAGTACTGACATGTGAATATTCCATTCTTTTACATCTTCTTGATTATCGTCTATTTTTTTTCCTTCTTCACCTCCTTCCTTTCCTTGTCTATCTTGTATCTTGTATCTTCCTTCATAATCATGTCCGCCGGCCTAACTGATCGATTTCCTAGAAAGAAAGTCGCTATCATCGGAAGTGGTTGTGCTGGAATCGGGGCTCTTTGGGCTTTAAATCGAACGCACCACGATGTTTACATTTACGAAGCTGCGGATCGATTAGGAGGTCATACAAATACTGTCAAGTATCCTCATAATGGCAAAACAACTCCAGTTGATACAGGATTTATAGTCTTGAATACTGCTACTTATCGTAAGTTATTTACTTGCCCAATCCCGCGCCACACGAAGGATTTACAAATAGTCCCGACTGGCAGATTAGATGCAAGTTTTCAATGCCAGAAAGCAAGCCAATATTTGAAATAGACTCAGTATTTTATATCAATTGGATCTCTTGATCAAATTGAGAATTTGGAAGCGTCTGATTGTTGGACTACAGTCCGAACTATCAAACAACCATGGCATATAACATTCGAGAACATAGAAGCTGACAAACATATTACAGCGAATTTCATAGCTTTCCTGAATACCCTCAATGTTCCTACCGTACGTACTGAAATGACCTTTGGGGTCTCTCGAGATAAGGGATTATTCGAATGGTCAGGAACCTCACTCTCATCAGTATTCGCACAACGAAAGAACCTCTTCTCGTTAAGGATGTGGAGAATGATATTCGATATCATCCGTTTTAATCAATTTGCTTTGGACTTATTAAAAGAGGAAGAGAAGAGTGAGGAATATGTGAACGGGTATGTGAATGGGAATGGAAATGGAAATTCAAAGAACGTTCATCATGCAGAGAAACAAGAAACTATAGGTCAATATTTGGATAGGGAAGGATATTCGGATGCATTTCGAGATGACTATCTTATACCAATGACTGCAGCTGTGTGGAGTACAAGTCCGGATAAGTGCTCTCTGGAATTCCCAGCCGTCACTTTGGTCCGATTTATGTAGGTCGAAATCAAGGGCATAGTTTATTTGAACATTACTAACAATCTTAGGTGGAATCATCATCTATTAAGCACTGTTGCTGCTCGCCCTGATTGGTTAACGGTAAAGAATGGGGCGAAAACCTACATCGATGCCGTAATGAAAGGCTTTCCACCAAATCACATATTCCTTTCTACACCCGTCGAATCAATACGCAATGATGATGATAATCGTATACGCTTATGTCTCGAGAATGGCAAGGAAGAGATATTCGATCACGTTATAATCGCTACTCATGGAGATATCGCATATAATTTGGTCCGATCTTCTTCCACATCCACCGAACGTCGCATTCTTACTGGATTTCAAACCTCAAAAAATACAGCTGTCCTTCACTCCGATCTTTCTCTCATGCCTCAAAATAGAGAAGCCTGGTCCGCTTGGAATTATATTACTGCTTCTTCTACTTCTTCAACCTCAAAATCTAGAAATGTTGACCAAGTTTGTCTAACATACAACATGAATATTCTCCAGCATATCCCGACCTCCAAATTTGGCGATGTTCTCGTCACACTTAATCCCTTGTTTCCACCAAAACCAGAACTCACTCACAGTACATATACGTATCGTCATCCACTCTATAATACACGTGCCATAACCTCTCAGTCACAACTTCCGGAAATTCAAAACACAAGAAACATATCTTACTGTGGAGCATGGACCAAGTACGGATTTCATGAAGATGGCTTTAGTAGTGGAATCAAGGTAGCAATGGATCATCTGGGTGCTACTCTTCCGTTCGAGTTTAAGGATAGTACCTTTAGTCGAGGTAAACGTCCTGTACTTGGATTGAGTGATTTGATCTTGAGGATATTTATTTTGTCTATTCAATGGTTCGTGGTTAACGTGCTGGAGAGAATCCTATTCATTGAGAGAAGTCAATCTCAAGTGGATGCCAAAAGGAAGAAGTTTTTGTGAGTTGCCATGGATAGGTAGGCTATCGAGAATCAAAAAGAATTTGATGATCTGGGAGAATGAAAGGAAGATTGTACATGCTTGATGTTTATGAGGAGTATGGAGTATTGGGAAAAGTACCATTGTTAGGTTCATAGCGACGCTCTAAGATGTATATTTACATTACATAATACCATGTTGTTCAAAGAACCAGATATCGAAGTGTCGTTTTATTGAAATAGTAACATAGTCATATAGTAGCATAGCATAGTATAGTATACCTAGGTAGTGTAGTATAATCTCCACACAACAAAATAATCACGTACCTACCCCTAAAGAGAACTCAATATTATATCATCCCATCCCATGTTAGTAACTCTTTTATACCTGCTCTCGCTTTGTGATATATAAATATATACATACTATCCCAGCCCATCCCCTTTCCTCTCATCGAAATCGAAATCAAAATCAAACTGTAAACCATGGATATCTCTATTCTCAAAACCACCGCACTTTTTTATTTTTTATTTTTTCCTTCTTTTCCTCATTGTTCTCCTTTTTCTACTCATTGTTCTCCTCTTCTTCCTCATTGTTCTCCTGTTCTTCCTTAAAATCACAAACTATACACCATGCATCATACCTCAATATCCCTTGATGAATCCTAAACTCTTCTTTTAACCTCTGTACTCAGTTAAACCCCCTCCCACTCACTCACTCACTCACTCACTCACTCACTCACTCACTCACTCACTCACTCACTCACTCACTCACTCACTCACTCACTCACTCACTCACTCACTCACTCACTCACTCACTCACTTGTAACCCCTCTCCCCGGGCCCTCGATACACACAAACACGAACACAAACACATCCTTATAAAATCTTCTCAATCCACAATCCACAATCCAAGTACCATTCAGAAAATTAAATTAACATTCATCTACCTACCTATCCTACTAAGTACTAGGTACCAGGTCCCAGGTCAGGATCTCTTTATCCTCCAACCCTTACTCTCCCTAAATATCTATTCCAGTAACTTCAAGCCAATATTCATACTTTCCCAAGGCCATCGACGATTCTTGTTCCACCACGGTCCAAGCATTTCATTCCACTCCATTTCAACGCCATACCATCCTATCCCATCATATCCATAAAAAAAAATAAGAAATCCATACCTATACCCATACCCATACCCATACCCATACCCATACCCATAATCCATCCATACCTAGGCAATGCCATCCCAATACAAATGAAATTCATCAAAACATTTAACTTTCCACTACCATAGAATCCCATTTTGCAGCTCATCTCATCTCATCTTAGAACTCCATCCATGAAGCAAATTCATCCCGTGGACCCTTGTGCGCGTTATGTGAATCCTATCATATCCTATCCCATTCTATCCTGTTCATTTACCCAGTATCCCAATCCGTAAAAATCCACATGCGCGTCATGAACTCGAATGGTATAGCACTGTATCCTATTTCACCATCTCAAAACTCCATCCAAATAACAATCATGCGTGTATTCGTAATCCTGAATCGTTGTAAAGAAAATCTATCCGATTGTAACATCCCAACAGCGTACTATCACTCAACTATTCGGATCGATTCATTCAAACCGCCACATCAACTCGAGACAATGACGAAATGGCGATATGAGGAAGAAGATTATCTGGCGTGCGTTACATTTCTCTAGGTTGTGTTTGTCTTTATGTTTGTAGGGCGATTGTCGCTCTAACTCTACAAGGAGTTGGAGGAAGGTACTTGTTGCGCTCTTCTTGCTGTTCGACGTTCCTGTCTCGCTCGACTCTCCCTATCGAATCTTGGCTGCTCATACCATTTAAAAGTATGACCATCTTCTCTCTTCACATCGATCATTCTCCTGCCTCTCTCAAACTGTTTCCTGTAATTTCTCCCACAGCTTCCACAATAATTCGGATCCGATTCCTCACGCTCCGTGAACATTTGACATTGTCCAGCGCAAAAGGTAAGATGTGATGGCATGAAACTCGCGAGATGAAAATGCAATTCGCAATGTGCTGGGAAGAAAGCGACAGGACAACAGTGACGACATGAACGTTGGGGCCCAGGTATGACGGGAAATGTACTCTCCGGTCGACCCATCGCAAGAGGTGGGTTGAAATCAAGAATTTGATGACGACCATGTGACAGATAGACGTTGCGAATATATTTACTATATAAAAAGTTAATGAATGATCATACGATGGATTTTGGGTAGTACGAACTTCAAGAGACTGAAGCAGACTGCATCAATGGGATTAAGATACTTGAAGATTCCCATGACAATCTCAGGGGGTGTAGTAATGAATGGTTTATGCTTCTTCTCAACAAACTCTAGTTTATCCTTTATAATTGATGAGTCCTCATCGCTATAAGGAGGAGATATAGGTGATACTGCAGGGGTTAGTGCCAATGGAAAGGCCATTTTGAGAATCTCTTCCTCAAATGGTTTCAAATATTGTACATGACTTCGTTCTTCGAACAGATCCGAACCAGCTTCCTGAATCACACTAATCGGAGCGTGGGCCATGTTATAAGATGTATTCGAAGAGGAAGAAGAACAGCGAGATAGCGCAGGAGTTATGTGAGGTGAATGTGTTTTCGTATCATCATCATCAAGATGGATGTTTGCACCAGCCTCACCAGCCTTTTTCGTGGCCATCGTTTGGATGACAATTTTGAGTGACAATTATCAGGTGACCGTTATGGAAATGGTAAGGTAAGATTCCTTGGCTGCGTGGAGAGTGAGCGTAGGCCTTTAATCACCCAAGAACTAGGCAGACGTAGGAATTACTGACCTACTTGACTCAAGAATGAAGAATGAAATCCAAATTGAAGACGAAGACGAATTCTGATAAAGGGATATGGAGAATGATGTTGCTGTTATCAATTTCAATATTGAAGAAGAGAAGAACACTTTCTCGGAGCCCCAAGTAAATGAACAGCTTGTTAGTAAAGTGTAGGAAGGCTAAGGTTACTGTAGTCAATATAATCGAGGAAAGGCCGAGCTAATGAAGTAGGGAGTGGTGGAGTGGTGGAGAGGTGGAGAGGTGGAGAGGTGGAGAGGTGGAGGTTCAATTGAAGCTTGTTGTTTAAAGGTGTTTAACTGGTTAATAACTCTGCCTATCAAATTAGCGAGTGAATCTCTTCATTCTTCAACTACCTACTTGTGTACCCGTGGACCTAGTAGGTAGTATTTATTAGGTACAATTATATTTTGAAAGGATTAATAGATACCTACCTAGTACATGGATACCTACTTACATAGTGAATAATGAATCAGTTATGACATATCTTGAAATGCTTTCCTATTTATGTTTAAATGCCTGATTTTCCATGAAGCTTCTATAATTCATCATCATCTATGGTAAGCTACTGCTCATCACATATACTGCAAGAGACAATTGGGGCGTCTAGAATGCCAACTAGAAGGAAGAAGGAAGAAGGGAGACGACAAACAGAATGTCAAATAGTATCAAAAAGGCAGGAGAGAGAGAGAGAGAGAGAGAGAGAGAAGCGTTAGTGATAATAGACAGTCAAGCTATAGTAGCTACTTGTACTATAGTAATACATCGTAGAACAGCTGAATAGATATCCAAGTAGTCAAAACTACAGCAAATACTTCAACCGTAGTAATACAAACAACCCGAATTCACATACTCTAAAGCTTTTAACTCCTCCCAATGCAAATGAATATAATACATCTCATACTTCTTTTACATACCAACAGGCATAGCTTTCAGATGCCCATTCTTATCATATCTAGCCTCTGTTGAATGTGTTAATATCTTTCTGACCCTCATGTTTGAATCAAAAAATAACTTACTGAAAAATGTATAACTCAGAGTAACCTGCTCAATCCCTCTCATATTCGGATCATTAACAAAATCAGGATCGATGTAGAAGAATACTGGCATATCAACCGTTTCCCCAGCATTCAATCTTTGCTCCTCGAAACAAAAACATTGAATCTTGCTAAAATATGGAGCCACTTGTCCAGGCGTCACACTGTAAGTTGCCACCCCAATTATATCCTCATCAGATTTATTCGTAGCAGTGTAGAATGCCAATGCCGTTTCTCCTGGTAAAACCCGAACTTCTCTCTGTTGTGGTGTGAATTTCCATGGTAGAACATCCGAAACAGAACCATTAAAGGTTACTCGTATACGTTTTGCAGAAGTGACGGGTCTAAGTCTTTCGGATGGATCTTCTCCCTCTACACCACTGCCGCCATGTCCGGGTGCTTTGATCGGTTGCCCTCCCCATCCTGTAGTTTGGCAGATCTGGAGAGGTATATATTAGCTAGGAAGTAGTAAAGTGGCGTGTGATAAAATATACCATTTTATACATTGGCACAGAGCCATACGAGAAGGCCACAGTCCCTAAAATAATACTGAGTGTATAGTACATAGTCAAACTATTCTTTTGTGAGAATGGCGCTCTCAATTGCTCCATCGTTGGTGCTACATTTCCTCGAGGGGTTGAATTATTGGAGATACTTCTGCTTATTGAAGGTTTGAAGAATGGTGTATTTGTTCGCTTTGATTTCGCACATGATGTACATATCCAATTGGCATTTTTGCTACTCAGAGCTCTCGACATTCGTGGTAAAGAATTCATTATGTGATTGGAAAGTTATCTGTTGATATAAAATCGAATCAATGATTGAGAAAGAATATTGACTAGGATCGGATCATGATCGGGATTTGAACGAGGAAGATAATCCGGGCCCGAAATCTGGGGAAATTCTTCGGCATCACTCGGGATGTGTTTACTATCTCTATTTACGACAGCAATATGATGTACAGCAATACAACAAGGAATTCTCTTAAGATATCAAGACAATAACAGTCAAGGCATGAAATCTATCCTTACAATTCAATTTTTGAAAACATCCGATTTACCACCGATGATTGGTATTATACATATCATGGCATTACATTCGATACTGTCAAATGAGGAATCTCCTCCTTCCTCTGCAAGTTGATTACAAAGGAAAGAGGGGTGAACCACCTGGCAGTTGAACTAATATCATTCAATGACATCAATGACATCAAGACAGAGCACTGAGATGAATCCAGACAATTCCAAGGGTTATAAATCTCATCATAAAGAAATCATCCATTTGCCTCCAAAGATTGGTATAAAGCTCCTCATCTCAGTCCCTTATTCTAATCCATCATGCTTTCACCAACCATTCGCAATTTGCTTGTTAAAGGAAGCCAAAACACCAAATATACTCCTCGTCTACTCTTCGCGTATAGAAAGACAACTTCATTCAAGATTCCAACTCCATTGAGTATTCAAAATCGCAATATGGCGTCCAAAACCCCAAATTCATCGCCCCCTTCCCACGATATGGTCTATTTTCCTCAAATGACCTCGGATCTTCCTGCTTCCTCCCATGAATTTCGTAGAATACTTGTATGTGCACCAGAAATTCCTTCTTTCCCACAACATTGTATCATCCAGCTGTGTGCCGTCCATCCCAATGCAACATACTACTCCTCTCCTTTTATTCTTCCCCTCACCCTCTCCCTATCACCACACCATAAAACCTAGACTAACACTCCCCCAGTTCACAGGCCTTTACTCCCAAGTCGTACTCATGACAATCCCCGTCGGCGGCGACATAGGTGACGAAGTACACACAGTCGACCAAGCTCTCACCTTTACTTCCGGCACTGGTCTCGCTACCATCAACGGTAAAAACCAAGAGGTTAGAAAGGGAGATTTGATGGTCGTACCAGCGGGTACTCAACATCAATTTGTAAACACAGGGAAAGAACCATTGATTCTGTATACGATTTATTCGCCGGCAGAACATGCGCCAACTACGGTGCATGAAACGAAGGAGCAAGGCGATAAAGAGGAAGATGAAGGAAAGGATGAAGCTCCGGCTTGGTCAAGGAAGAGTAAGGAGGAGAATGAGAAAGGGGGATTGGTAAAGTTGAGTGGAAAGTATGATTAGAGTAGGAAAGGAATAAGGAATGAATTGTGAGGTCAGTGTTGATGGGAAATTTGCGTGGTAATAATGAGATATATCTCAGTTGTTGAGAATGATAAGTGTAAAAGAAATGAATTCTGAACAAGAACCCGTATTTGATATTATGATACCGTACCTATTTTCAATACTCTTGAAATTCATCTCGAAAGTCTTTTTCCCTTTGATGACTTTACACCAACCCTTAGATATCTACACAAAAATCATTCATCCAATTCCAAAGTCGTCTAATAAAAATGCCCCTCCTCTCGGTCCCGCCCATCTGCATCAATGACTAACATCCACCCCACTCCACTCCTCTTTTCCACCCACACCAAAAAAGAACATATATATACATAAACAACTTATGCCCCTCTATCAAATCAAACAACAAAAAAAAGCAAGTTGGCGCAGTGGAAGCGCGCCGGGCTCATAACCCGGAGGTCCCCAGATCGAAACTGGGACTTGCTATTTGTCGCATCACATTTCATTTTTGCAACTTTTTTGTTGTGTGGGAAGAAGTGGATTGGGTGAAGAGTAAATAGGACATTTTTTTTAGAGGATGGAGGAGAGATGTTACATAATTTCTCAATTTCGATTTTCTAAGTTTCTTTTTTCCGAGGGCATGGTGGAGAAGGAAAAAAAGAAAAGGGGAGAGAGTGTGGTGTAGTGAAGTGAATGAAAACTTATTGCGTAAAAGGGGTGGAATTAATCGTTATTATTGTCTCCAAGTTTTTTCTTTTGTTTTTTCGGTTGATAACCCTCAGGGAATCATAACCGGAGGCGGTTTATGTTCACGATTCTGCATTGTTTCGACGAGTCTTAAGGAGTTTCTTAGGGTACATAGATGATGTTGATAAGATTTGATTTAGGGAGTTCGTTGAACCTGGACTATAGCGCGGATTACAATTGTGATGTTATTAGAGGAATCGAGGAGAGGATATTGAATACAATTTTCCAGTAGTGGAGTATGAACTATTGTCTTATAATACAATAGTTCTAAATCCACATGGTTTTAAGAGGATAATGGAATTCGCCAAGTGGATGAATGAGTGAGAGAGAAGCTGGGTGTCGGAACTCGATTTGGAGTGGAATTTGGGTAAGTGTTCAGTTCATTGTATGTGAGGATTTGGAAGGGTTTGGATGCCATTTTGAACTTTTGAGATGAGGTCCGGGGGATTTCATTCCGAGAGAGGAAGAAAGCTTTATTATAATTACTCTACAAATCTTCCAAGGGAAATATTCCCCATACAATCCCCAGCCATGTGAGTTTCCCATTGCAACAATTCAAAAACAAAATAGTAAAGTGTATATTACATGTACACCAGGTTAATATCCCCGCAGTATAAATCAATATTTAAACATCCTTCAAACTCCCAATAATACCCAATAGTGCAACGATAGCCGCAGCCGCCGTCACAATATACAAAGCCAATGTCCAAGCTGTGATTACATCACCGGTTACTGCCATGAACCAAGTTCCTACTATGAGACTGAGAAGTAGCGGGGTGATGACTACGGCGCTGAGTCGATATGGACACCTGTTTATTTGCTCACATGTTAGCATCGCATCTCATCATATCATATAACATTGTTCATCTCGATTTCCATCAAAACCAGAGACCAAAGAAAGAAAGAAAACAACCCAACTAACCAATCATATACCAACTCCAAACTCCACCTCCCCTCCAACGGTCCTTTAGCCCTCTCTGCACTCTCCCCCTTCCCATCCTTCCTATGACCCCCCTCATTCAAACTCTTCTCCACCCACCCCAACCACGCCCTCCCAACATCCTCATCCCACTCTCCCCTCCCAAACCACGGGATACTCCTCCTCTTCACCTTGTACGCCGCATAAAACTTCCTCAACACCACTTTCTCCTCTTCCTTCAGCCCAATCTTCATGTGCGCACCGCGCTCAATATCGCATTTATACAGACCAAAGCCCGCGAGCGATTTGAGGGAGAAAAAGCGTCGAGCGCCCCGGAGAGAGCGCTCCGCGTGATGGAGAGAGGAGAAGAGAGTACGGGGGTCGGAGAGGGAGATGTAGGTTTCGTGGGGATCGAGGGAGGAGGTGGGGAAGTAGCCGAGGACTAGGTAGGGGGATTGAGGGGGGAGGAGGAGGGTGGTGAGGGCTTGGAGGGAGGAGGTAGTAGCGGATAAGGGACGATCAAAGATTGGACAGGAATTGGAGGATGGGTCGGGGTGAGACTTCTCGGGTTGTCTCATTTTGCTGGTGAGTTTGTGTAAGCAGGAATGAGAATGAGAGTGGGTGGAGGATTCGTGAGAATGTGTGCTTGCTGGTTGAGAGGTAGATTGATGGGCGGGAACCAGATGGGTGAGTGTGTCTGTAGTTAGTTCGGTTACCGATTGCTCGCTATCATCCGATTGCGTGTCTTCGGAATCCAATGAACTTGAATTTTCCCCCGTAGTAGATTCTTCCAAAGTCTCAATCCCTATTTGAGAATTCCTCTTCCTTTCCTCCCTTTCCTCCCTTTCCTCCCTCTTATATCTTAACCTATCCAGAACCCTTCTACAAGCCACCCACAAAATCCTCCTTTTCCTCGCCATCAAATAAAGCAACCAAAGTCTCGGTTCCTCCATCTTCCTCAACCACTCTACTCTCTTCTCCCACTCCTTTCTCCGTTCCACCTGCCACCATTTCAATTCCCCGAGTTTGCGCTGGAGATTCTTCTTCTCCTCTCCAAAAGCATGGAACATGGGAGAATAGTCCGAGTAATTGTAATTACCGGATTGCAATTGCAGGAAGAGACGAGCTTCGTTGCAGGTGAGTCCCACGCGACGAGCACAGGATTCGTCGGCCCAGAAGAGATTCCCGTTGGAGGATTTAATGACTGCGGGAACGGGTCCGAGTGCGGGTGAGTCGGGGAATTGATACGTGCTCATTGAGAAGTGAGCATGGGGGGAGGCTGAACTAGGGATGAGGGATTGAGAGGGAGAGGTGCTGGTGCTGTTTATTGAGGAGAGGCTAAGGGTGGTGGGAGCACCGTCTTCTATATCGTAGGACATGATGATAGGGGGACGGAAAGATTGTATGATCGATCTCAAGGACAGAGTATAAGTGACCTTATGATAATTCTGCCCGTGAACAATTATCTAGAGATTGAAGAAACGAAGGTAAAAGAAAGACAGAACAGAAACGAAAAGGTAAGACGAGAATCTTTCAGAATTCGAAAGTCTGAAGACACTCAAGAGCTCTGAGATGATGAATCTTCCAAACGAAACGTCGCATCTCTCCCCCTTTATATTCCCACATCCTCCTCCGCGCCTGAGTTGTAGCACCAAATGACCCTTTCCTTTTCATCCTCTCTCTCACCTACTAACATCACGAAACAACTCTCTGGAAACTCATTCTCATTCTCATAAAGATTCACGACAAACGACAGTGATTCTCAAAGTTTATAAAAAACCTTCCTTTCGTGTTTTATGATCATCGCTTTTCCTCATTGGTCGGAAGTGATCAAGATGACTTCCTGATCTCGTGAGCACTTGTCCTATGATCTACCGACCGATGGGATTGCAATATCACAATGATAAGTTATGGAAAAGTTAAGAGAGAGGAATAAATAGAGATTTTTGGTTGAAATCATGCCTTGTGAATCAACAATCTTTAAAATCGAGATATAAAGTATCTCAGCAGGTAGTAGATAGAAATAGGTAATCTTACATTGTGATAAATACCTAACTAGGTATATATCGATTCCACCATCTAACAAAATCGGATGAACCAAGTCGGGATATTACCAATTGAATTGAGATGGGTAGAGTGATAGATGTAATTTGCAAGGCTTTTTGTTCTCTATTTTCATTTCACGTATTTGAAGTAAGATGTGGTAAGAAAGTGTGCTGGATGGATGTACGAGCAGATGTGGTAACTTCTCTTAGTACCAAGTGGAACGGATAGAATGTGTTAATAACCCAAAAATAGTTCGGATAAGAGTCTGAGGAAAATCAACTATTTATTCATTTATTATAAATTTCTTTTGCTTACCTAGGTATCTATATTTACAACTTATCTTGTCAAATATCAACCATATATCTAATAAATACAAAAGGATACTAGATACAAAATTATATAATTAGAAATTATACCTCATATCCTATTCTATCCCATCAGTCCATATGTATATAGAGTCGAATAATCGAGTCATCTATGAAGTCATACTAAACAATACAACTTCTTCATACATATAACCAGTCTGATGTATCAAGACAGGTGAGCTTATACTAATGCTTATAAAATAACCTTTGTAGGTGATAAAATCATTTAGGTATTGTAAAACTATAAACTAGAGAGAATGTGATGAACCAGGTCTTTCACTACCCTCTTCTGACATATCCGAATCGGTAAATAGTTCCACGGACTGTGTTCGCCTATCACGATCATCATTACCCTCATCTATCCTGCCTCCTTCAAAATTCCCCAAAGAAATCCTCTTCCTACTCATCCTAATCGTTTCATCCGATGGAACATTATTATTTCCATCTTTCGAAATGGTTTCCTGTTCAAGATTCTCATTTCCATTCCCAAACATGATTGAATCCCCATTTGTCGTTTCTCCACCCATCCAAATCGATGTGATCGGAGTTCTCTCCAACGCAGTCGTAGGAGTCGTCTGCGCATCACTATCCTCTCCATCTCCTATTGTCCATCTCCACTTTCTCTTCTTGTCCTTGCGCTTACGTTTTCGTAACCCGGGAGTTTCTAATCCATTCTCTGCCATTCTTCTTCGCATTTCTTCAAATGGCCCTGGAGTTTGTCCTCCATCGCGTGTTTCATCACCAGTGTATTGCATGGTTGTGTCGAGAGTGTCTAGGGTTGTGAATTCGGGATCTGTGGCGGAATGAGGAGAGTCTTCGGAAAGAAGATCGATGTGCGATTTTACATATTCATTAGTGGTGATGGTTTGAGTTAAAGGGTCATCGTATTCTACTTTCTTCGTGCCTTTGTTTGCTAACCGCGTTGCGAGTCGGCTTGCAGTATTTGGTGTTGCAGGTGCGACGGCGCTTGGAGGTGGAAGTGGTGAGTTCCGAAGGATACTATGGAGAGATTTGGGATGTGTATATGGAGTAAGTCGTCTCATACTTCGCGGCGATGCACTATTCGAAGCTTGCGATGCAAAGGTAAACATCTTTTTATCGGACGAGCCAGCTGAATGTGGAGGGGTAAATGTGAAGTTGAGGGAGTCTTTGGGGTGAGCTGAATCTGGGTGAGCTGAACTTGGGGTATCAGGATATGATATCGCAAATGGTCCAGGAGTCGCAGTGCGCTCTGATGGATGTATATATCCATCCTCTGCTTTTATATTCGTTTGAAGTCGTGTCGTCTGAAGTCGTGAAGGCATGGGTTGAATTCTCAAGGAAGGTCTAGCTTCAAGGCTTGCCGGCTTTGATATTTGTGGCGAGGCATTTTCAATTGCTGTTGCGTATGCATTTGAAAGTGTATTAAATGCAGTTGGTGATGATGGGTTGATGTCTGATTTTAACGCTGTGGAGGATTTTCCAATGGTTTGTGGAGCAGATGGGGTCTTGATCTGTAAAGATAACTTCGGTCTCTTGGGTGGTGACGAATGCCGAGGAGGGAAAGACATAACTATAGAGGAGCACTCTTGAACAGGTGCCAGCATCATAATCGGAGATTTGAAAGGATTCTTAATAAAGTCTTCCTTGACTATATTCTGGTCCGTGGTACTAGAGTATATATTTGAATGTTGAGTGTTCGTCTAAGAATCGAGACTCTGATTTGGGTCACGAAAAAGTCGCAGGTGGTCTAGGTATCTTAGATATAATGTATCTAATCTACCGATAACAAGGCGTAGTCGTAAAGTTCGTCGAATGATTTCGTAATTTCGTAAGGCGTAAGACAAATGAGTAGGAAGAGAGAGAAAAAAGATATGAATAACTACCCCTCAGGTGAAACCAACAGTGACCGTGCCGCAGCTATATGTATATCACCATCGACCTTTGCCTAGGCCAAGAAATAGATGAATAAAATAAAACTGGGGAGAAGTTCTGATGGGAGAGTTTAGAGTTTAAGCACAGTCTTATCACCTGTCATGCATCTGCTAATCAAGTTTGAAATGCTTGTGCTTGTGAGGTATGGGAATAGGCGCGATGTTTATAGAAATGATGTGACGAGGGGCTTGCAGTGCAGGTTAAAAAAATTGAACCAAGTAAATAGAATATTTTTATTGATTTCCACGCACTACGGGTTGACAAGCATTCGGGATGGTCCACCATACTAGGCTCATCTCATAGACCCATATAAGGATTCAATGGTTGTTGTGGCTCCTTGAAGCGCTGTGGAAGGATTTCCCGAGAGGTTGAACAATACAAGTATGAGGAGTTAGTTAGCTTAGCTTAGTTTACGGAGCGATGGTCAGCAATACTCGAGTAGGACGTTTCTCTGATAGTCAAGGTAGTAGTAGTGGTTGGATTAGCAAATTGGAGCAGTGAACGGAGATGGAGTCACAGATTTGGGCTGAATCTAGGATCTCGGACTATCGGAGTGGATGGGTCCATGGTTGAGTGGCGCCTATGCAAGGGTTCTTTTTGAATATCACACCGCTTGAGCGAATAGATTTTTGACTTGGAAAATCAAGACTATTCAAGACGATTGGTTGTTTCAAGGGGAATGGGACCAGTAAGTGTGGTGGCTTGATCTTATTATAGGAATTTTTGCAATGTCAACTGTTACTTTTAATAATTGATTTCGCCCCTTTAGTCCTCCTTAAGTACCTAACTGATGCCATGTGCTATTTATGCTATTTCAATCAATATTTCATGATAGATCAATAGGATACCTAGTTATATCTAGAACCTCCCTCTATAATAGCCTTGTAGCCCCGTGAAATAACTTTATCCGTTCTTTAGAGACCAATAGCTGAGACGCTCTTTGGCGTTAGTATCGCTTATTGAATGGGTGATAAGGACAAGGAAACAACACGATTGGAAACAAATAATGGATGAGATCTATGGGGTAAAATCTTGGCTTCGGCACATTATTGACTTGAATACAATTCAATTGTTACATAAAGTTAACTGTGCTTTAATTTGTCTGGTTGATCGTATTCGAGAATATTGAGTTTAGAATTCCGAGAACCACTTTCTGGTGGCGAAGGCGATGAAGGGGTTACGAAGGCAAAAGGGGCGATGGCGATGGCGATGGCGATACTGCTACAAAGTTCACTTCGTACTCGTACTGTACCCACTGAGTCCGCCTACAGTGTAAAGTATTTTCTTGGTAACTCTCCACATCAAACGCGTGACTTATAAGTTGTATCTCAAAATAGAATTCTAGAAAAGAAAGATCTCCAAACTCCACTTTGAGTCCACCATTAGATATGTTTAGACATGATTAGACATGCACAGTGTAAACGTGTCTCAGAAACAAATTTCCGCACAAAATTCTAAGAATGGCATCTTTGATTCTGGCAGTCTAGTCAAAGGGATACTATTGCTTATCGATAAGCTCCACTCCGTCTTACATTTTTAGATCAAAGCAAAGGTATATCCGATGATAACTTGATGTGTTTGACGTCGACTTACACTATACATCCATACATCCTGATATCCAAACGGATGGATCTACCCAGGTAGAGTATCATTGACAGCAATCCAAATCCTTCTTTTTGCTGTCAAACTTGGCATCTTCTCTTCCTCCCCGAATCTTCTTTCGGCCGAGACTCTATTCGCTTGGACCAAGACAAAGACTAATAAGAGGTTCAATATCACGATACCATACCATACGAGACGATACGATAAATTACCTAATTTCAAAAGAAAAAATGGGACCAAACTCTTCACATCCACCTGTCTCATCGTCGCCAGCAAACTCAAAGTATCACTGAGCTAATAATAAATCATAATGGCAAGAAAGGATCACAGGATAATCATACATTTTGTTAGTCAGCCCCATTAGGATTTCTGTATTCATCATTATTTCGTAAACAAACACGTCACTTCCAAAAAGTATCTATTCTGATAATCGGAGTTTGTAGGATTATGAC